TCGTCAAACGACTGTCACGTAACAGTCTGATACAGCACTTTTATATGCCAGACCAGTTGTGCGAACAAGCGACTGTGACGTTTTCTTGCAAATACGAGTTCGTCGGCCTACTAGAAAGTACCGCTGACTGCCAGCATTGCAACTGCCGACAGTCCGGGCTAACTAACTCGACAAGGCGATCCGCACACACGGACGCTGCGCTATGACCACGGTGGCTATGCCTAGACTAACTCATTCACATACGCGGCACGCAAACGCGCAGTACTTATTGCGAAGTCAAACTTCCAAATAAAACTGCCTTGTTGAACGAGAATATGTGCCGCGGAAGAGCGAGAATACTAACCGCGGTGGCTCCGGTCAGCTCCGCGGGCGGGAGCAGCGGCCGAGGATCGAAGTCCAGGTCCGGCTGCCCATCGTCCTCAGCAGGCTCGGAAGAAGGGTCGGAAGCCGAGGTATCGATCACAATGCTGTCGTCCTGCAATAGACGGCGGCTACCGAGTTGACTTCTTGGAGTCTCCAGCACTTGTCGGCTCTGAACCCCCGCGCCTTGCGCGGCCGTGGCGGTAATTTTCGCTACTCCCGCGTAGGAGACTTTAACTGTGGATTTGTAGAAGCGGACAGACGGCAAGGGAGGCGTGTCCCCCTTCTTTTTTTTCCGTGCAGCCTCGACGAGGCAAGGAAGGGCGACGAGGAGTAAGATGCAGACGACGCGCAGCGTACGCTGCGATGGGACGGCCATGGCGCGTGCTTGCCTGGCTAGTAGTATATTGGGTTGCTACGGACCTAGTGTATCCTTCAAAAACGGCGGGAACAAAAAAAGAATGAAAGAAACGTGTATGGTCCAAGGGGAAAAAATGGCTTGGTTATCGAAGTACTATGGCGCCAACTGCTGTTGTGTCACGCTGCTAGCGCTAATCGCAGGCAGACAAGGCTCGTGCTTTGGCCCGCAAATTCCGACTGAGCCTGAATCGAATGCTTGGATGATTGGACTTGTGAAGAGTTTGCAACACAAGGTGCCTCGTTTGCTGGAAGCGCAGAGCTAAGATTGCCTGAAGATACCCCTGAAAGGATTTACTGCCACATGGGGGAGGACGCGTTGCGTCTGTACCATGCGGTTTGGCTTCCCCAAATGGTCATGGGGGGTTGGCTCGGACATGTCGGCAGACCAATAGAGAGCCACTTTTCGGTTAAGTTAGATGCGGTGAGGGAGGCACATCATGGGTCATGGTTCCTCACCAGTAGATTTGCGAAAAGAAATAGCTTATTGCGAGAGTCGTTGAAAACTCCTGACTTCTCAGGTGCCACTTCGCTGGAACCTGCTACAAAACAAAAATGATCTGGTATGTCTGTTCGAACCCCTTCAGATATCTGCGGTGCGTTCCATAAGTGGTCTGAAAAAATTGAGTTACGTTTCGCGCTTTTAAGACGACACAAAGCCACAAGCTTAACACCACGCTCCCCCCGAAAAACTTAAGCTCAAATCATGTAGCTAAAGAAAGTACCACTCAATACTTGAATAAATGGGAAAAGGATAGGGGCTCTAGAGTCCTCGGCGCAGGTGGTTGATCACTCTGTATTCCATAGAGAAACTCTGCTGCGAAGCGCACGTAAGATCTCTTCTCTTGGCGAACCACTGTACTCGTTCTTCCTTTCGACGGTTTCGATTTGCGGGTTGGAGCTGGGCACACGATGATGCACGAACCAAACGCTGCCAAGAAAGTCAGAGCTGGGGAAGAAGTGGTTGGGTGGGCGGAGGCATGTCGCAAGGGTGGGGGTGGAGAAAACTGCGCTCAGGGTGGGGGGCAATGCATCTGGTCACAGAAGACGACACAACTGCCTGAGGACTATTCACTCACCTGCAAACAAGAACGGAATGGTTTAAAACCGTAAAAGAAGTGCGCCGATCTAACGAATTACGAAGCTGTGAATATATATTACATATATATATATATATGAACTTCCAAACCAGTGAATGTAGACAGACACTACAGACATAACATATTAAGTTTACGGAACTCTATTTGACATCTCAATTAACATATGCGAACCAAGAAAAGGTTTTTCATGCCAATGTCTACATTATGTGTCTCGCCATAATGTTTCTGAAAAAGAAAGGAAATGAAGAAAGAAAGGGAGAAGGAAAATGAAACTGCAAAAAAAGAACCCAAATGCAACACACATAAAACCCCCCCTCAAGATACCCAATCAAAACGCCCAGTCAAGACACCCCATCAAGACATCCCATCCCACACCCCATCCCCCCCCCCCCCCCCCCCCCCTTCAATCGCATCAACGTATCGACCATGTACGGGGCCTCCACCCAGAGAGCCCCGCCTTCCACATCGACATCGTCCCTCTCCCGGTCCACCAAATCTACGTTAATCCCCCCCATGGAAGACGCCGCTCGAAGCAGGATGGCACGGGCTTGCGCACATTGTAACGCCACCCCGATGAGCGTATTCAGTGACCCTAAAAGATAAGCCGAAAACACAGAGTCGTCCTCTCGACAAGCCCCCCGCGACACAGCTAGCCCCACGTGCGCATCCCCCTGCTGACGAAGCCACCGCTGAAAACGACCGCCGAGACACCCCCACGTCTCAACTATCAAAGGGGTGAACTGCACGCCCCGGTTGCGTGCAAGCAGAGACGCGTAATCACTCGTTTTGCGACGCTCCCACTCCCTTGCCGCCACACCTATTTGACGCCCGCACTGTCCCAGCAGTGATGGAGACAGCGATAGCGGGTCCGCGTCGCTGATCTCTAGGGCGTGAGCCTCTCCAGCCATTGGACGTCGCACCGCCACATCAACCCGCTTCCCCTGCAGCACCACACTATCCTCCATTGTCACCACCCCCTCCGACGCCTTGGAGATCTTCGCTACCGCAAACTTCACCTCATCATGCACCCGAGATGGACCATGCTGGTGCCTGCATCTCAGGGCATGGTGCGGGTCTGCTGGGTCAACATACGCTGTGCCACAAACACACCTCCCCACCACCTGCAGCTGCTGAATTGGGAGGCCGAGCCGTATAGCAGCAGCGATGCCCCACTCAGCCGCAGTGAATGTGAGATCTGAGTGAGCCGGAACCGTCGAAACCCATGCACCTGCCCCCGGGTCCTGAAGGGATGTGAAACGGGCCAAGGTAGCATCGTCACGAGCCAAGCGGCGCAGTGCCTGGAGCTCCTATACAGCTAACTGCCGCTGCCGCGCCTGGAAAAGCCGAACAGGAGGGGCCACTACACACAGAGGTAAGCCCGGTATCTCGTGGCGGATAGTCGCTGGCAGCTGCTCAAGAGCCTTGACAAACCACGGGTCAAGAAACTCTGCCCCTGTCGAAGTGGTGAGGTACTCTGCAAACATCGCCTCCTCACCCGCCACCCCTAACTGTGCAATGTCACGCGCGGCCTGCGCCCACCCACAAACATAGGACAGTGGGCTCAAAGAGGCCGCCGCCCGGATCCCGAACCCTCCGGAACGCACAGGGAGATGCAGCTGCATGCGTGCGCGCCTAGACCGGTCGGGGTCCTGCTCCCATTATCATGGAACATAGCGATAAATGTTCACAAGCATTCTCATTCGTTTCCACGTACAGGACCGATGCAGCTTTTGAAGAGGACGCATGATAATCAATCCCGCTCATGCAACCTCCGCTCCGGCAATTCTAAAAGCCACATACGTTCGATGTGCGCGACTCCGGCGCTCACACATAATCTCACCGTCGATGCTGCCGTACGTGCTAGTAGCTGCTCCGGGAAAATTCTCGCCTCCAACCGTCGCTCTCTCCCATCCAACCAACTGTCGCCATGTCGACTCGAAGAGAGTAGGGCGGAAGTTAATATTGTCGCGCAGGAGTCTATTAGGCGGCGAAGGCGTTGGCTGGAAGGGCTTACATGGGGGAGGTAGATTTAATGCTCATGCTTGTATCGGTATCAGTACTGGCGGTAACACCGGCGGGAACCACGGCGGATACAGGCACAGCGCGAGCACTGGCCAAATCCACTGTGTTACGCCAGGATTGGTCGGTCTGTACGATGAGACGTGGGGCAAGCGATTTCGTCATGAATCTGCGGCGTCGCTTAAGCCCGAGGCGCGAACGAATGATGAGTTTCGGGGAGGTACGCGGGAGGGGGAGGAGGTGGTCCGAACGATAGGCTTGACAGACGCGGAAACGGGAAGGAGCAGGACTAAGTTAGAGACGTCTTTAAAACGGGATGGTCCTAAACGCGAAGCGGAGGAGGCGGTTTTGGCGATAGACGTGGGCACGGGCGGGACTAAGGCGGCTGTGGTAACGTGGCATGGTGCTGTCGTGGCTTCTGCGTTCTGGCCGCACGCTCCGCCACGTGGCGCGGATGATGACGTGGCGCAGGCGCGGCAGACGGCGGAGCAGGAGCCGTCAGATTGGTGGAGAGCGGCGGCAGGCGCAGCTGGGGAGTGCCTGGCGCAACTGGATGGGCGGAAGGGGGGCAGTGCGGATGGGGTTGAGGAGTGGGGTGGAGTGGGTGGAGATGGGTTGAGTGCGGTGAGGGTGGTTGGTGTTGCTGTGACCGGTCAGATGCAAGACGTCATCCTGGTTCCCCAGGTACCACCTTCCCAGGATACCACCTTCGCATGATACCACCTACCTACGCATAGTACCACCTTCTCAAGACACCACCTTCTTAAGGTGTCACTTATCTCAGATATTACCTCCCATCCTTAAAACGACACCTGCTTTGGTCTTCCGCCCTCCTGTAAACTATACTCCACCCCCTCCGCCTTCCCCCCTCCCCATCCCCTCCGCCTTCCCCTCCGCCTTCCCCTCTCCCCACCCTCTACGCCTCCCGCCCCCCCCTCCCCCCCCAACCCGTCCGCCTTCCCCTCTCCCCACCAACCTTCAGCTCCTCCCCACCCCCTCCCACCCCCTCCCCACCCCCTCCCACCCCCTCCCCACCCCCTCCCACCTCCCTCCCCCGCATGTGCACTGCCCTGCACACTCCAACGTGTCCACGTGTCCCTCCAGGATTGGTCGGCCACCAGCTGCACTGCCGTCCCCCCTGCCATTCTCTACTCTGATGCGCGTGCGACTGTTGAAGCGAGGGAGGTGAGGAGAATGTGGGTGCCGGGAGGAGAGGGCGAGTGAGAGGGATACTCAACCTTTGCATGCCATACTGATGGGTCTGCTACCAGCTGTACTGCATCCGCCTGCCAGCTGTACTGCATCCGCCTGCCAGCTGTACTGCATCCGCCTGCCAGCTGTACTGCATCCGCCTACCACCCGTACTGCATCCGCCTACCACCCGTACTGCATGGGTCTGCTAATGGCAAATGGGTCTGCTAATGGCAAATGGGTCTGCTAATGGCAAATGGGTCTGCTAATGGCAAATGGGTCTGCTAATGGCAAATGGGTCTGCTAATGGCAAATGGGTCTGCTAATGGCAAATGGGCCTGCTACCACCCGTACTGCATCCGCCTGCCATTCTGTTTTTGAGTCGACAAAAAAGCGGGCGAGTGAGAGGGGTACTCGACCTTTGCATGCCGTACTGATTGGTCAGTTCAGTTACCACCTGTACTAGTTCTCCCTGTCATTCTGTGCCACTGTTGAGACAGGAGAGGTGAGGTGGTGGGGGAAATGGGGGGAATGATGGAGATGAGGGGGGAAAGCGCAGCTGGGAATTTGTGAATGTGGGTGCGTGGGTGTGGGTGGGCGGGGGGGGTTGTGAATGGGTTTGGTAGTCGTGGGTGTGGATGTTAGTGTGGTGTGGGTTTAGGCGTGTGGGTTTAGGCGTGTGGGTTTAGGCGTGTGGGTTTAGGCGTGTGGGTGATTGTGGTAGGCTGACAAGTGAAACTGGGGAGTGGGGGAAAAAGCTAATTGTGCATGTGTGTGCATGCGAGTGCTCGTGTGTGTGTGTGTGTGTTTCTGTGTGTGTGTGTATGTGTGTGTGTGTGTGTTTGTGTGTGTGTGTGTTTGTGTCTGTGTGTGTGTGTGCATGTGCATGTGTGTGTGCATGTGCATGTGTGTGTGCATGTGCATGTGCATGTGCATGTGCATGTGTGTGTGCATGTGCATGTGCATGTGCATGTGGATGTGCATGTGCATGTGCATGTGCATGTGTGTGTGCATGTGCATGTGCATGTGCATGTGTGTGTGCATGTGTGTGTGCATGTGCATGTGCATTTGCATGTGCATGTGCATGTGTGTGTGCATGTGCATGTGCATGTGTGTGTGCATGTGCATGTGCATGTGTGTGTGCATGTGCATGTGCATGTGTGTGTGCATGTGCATGTGTGTGTGGATGTGCATGTGCATGTGTGTGTGCATGTGCATGTGCATGTGTGTGTGCATGTGCATGTGCATGTGCATGTGTGTGTGCATGTGCATGTGCATGTGCATGTGTGTGTGCATGTGCATGTGCATGTGTGTGTGCATGTGCATGTGTGTGTGCATGTGCATGTGTGTGTGCATGTGTGTGTGCATGTGCATGTGCATGTGCATGTGTGTGTGCATGTGCATGTGTGTGTGCATGTGTATGTGCATGTGCATGTGTGTGTGCATGTGCATGTGTATGTGCATGTGCATGTGCATGTGCATGTGTGTGTGCATGTGTGTGTGCATGTGCATGTACATGTGCATGTGTGTGTGCATGTGCATGTGTGTGTGTGTGTGCATGTGCATGTGTGTGTGCATGTGCATGTGCATGTGTGTGTGCATGTGCATGTGCATGTGCATGTGTGTGTGCATGTGCATGTGCATGTGCATGTGCATGTGTGTGTGCATGTGCATGTGCATGTGTGTGTGCATGTGCATGTGCATGTGTGTGTGCATGTGCATGTGCATGTGTGTGTGCATGTGCATGTGTGTGTGGATGTGCATGTGCATGTGCATGGGCATGTGTGTGTGCATGTGCATGTGCATGTGCATGTGTGTGTGCATGTGTGTGTGCATGTGTGTGTGCATGTGCATGTGCATGTGCATGTACATGTGTGTGTGCATGTGCATGTGCATGTGCATGTGCATGTGCATGTGCATGTGTGTGTGCATGTGCATGTGCATGTGTGTGTGCATGTGCATGTGTGTGTGCATGTGCATGTGCATGTGCATGTGTGTGTGCATGTGTATGTGCATGTGCATGTGCATGTGTGTGTGCATGTGCATGTGCATGTGTGTGTGCATGTGCATGTGCATGTGCATGTACATGTGCATGTGTGTGTGCATGTGCATGTGCATGTGTGTGTGCATGTGCATGTGCATGTGCATGTGTGTGTGCATGTGCATGTGCATGTGTGTGTGCATGTGCATGTGCATGTGCATGTGTGTGTGCTTGTGCATGTGCATGTGCATGTGCATGTGCATGTGCATGTGTGTGTGCATGTGGAACGCAGATGGCATCACTAGCAGGAGGCCAGGATGCAATCATTGCAGCCACTGGGATGAGACAAGGCCCCACCAGGTGGGCGGCACACATGCTAGCTTAGCACGGCACACACGCCACCAGGTGGGCACACACGCCACCAGGTAAGCACACACGCCACCAGGTGAGCACACACGCCACCAGGTGGGCACACACGCCACCAGGTGGGCACACACGCCACCAGGTGAGCACACACGCCACCAGGTGGGCACACACGCCACCAGGTGGGCACACATGCCAATGCACAGAAGGCGGCTTAAGACATCAATCAATCTGCGTGCAAGAAGATGTAGGAACGCCTCAGCATCAGCATCAGCATCAGCATCAGCATGAGCATCAGCATGAGCATCAGCATGAGCATCAGCATGAGCATCAGCATGAGCATCAGCATGGTCAAAGATTCTATATTTCAGGCGCCCAAAAGCATGGGCTACAACATCGACTCTTGAGACGTCTCAAAAGCACGCACCCCTTGCTTCCACGCCGGACCTCCATCCACCAGCATGGTCAAAGATACTATATTTGAGGCGCCCCACAATTAGCATGGCCAAATGTACGAGTTTTACAACATCCCCCTCCTCCTCCCTGGTCTTCTCTTCCTCTAACCCGCCTGGATGGTAAGTCCCCACCCATCTTCCCCCCCCCCCCACTCTTTCTCCGCCTGCCCCTTCCGTGCAGCGTGCTGGCGAAGCTGCGGTGACTTTTGAGTCGACTCAAAAGTCTCCCCCCCCCCCCCATTCTTCCTCCACCCGTCCCTTCTGTGCAGCGTACTGGCGAAGCTGCTGTGGCTGTAGTGGCACCGGCCACATGCGCTGAAGGACTTTTGAGGTGCCTGAAAAATTCCCTCCCATCTTCCTCCCCCCGCTCTTCCTCTGCCCCCTCCCCGCAGCGTGCTGGCAAAGCTGCTGTGGCTGCAGCGGCACCGACCACATGCGCTGAAGCAAGCTTCCTCACTGCTCCTTGGCGCGTGCGTGCATCTGAGTTTGAAGCCTGCAGTATTTTTGAGTCGACTCAAAAATAGGCATCTGAGTTAGAAACCTGCAGTATTTTTGAGTCGACTCAAAAATAGGCATCTGAGTTAGAAACCTGCAGTATTTTTGAGTCGACTCAAAAATAGGCATCTGAGTTTGAAACCTGCAGTATTTTTGAGTCGACTCAAAAATAGGCATCTGAGTTTGAAACCTGCAGTATTTTTGAGTCGACTCAAAAATAGGCATCTGAGTTTGAACCTGCAGTATTTTTGAGTCGACTCAAAAATAGGCATCTGAGTTTGAAACCTGCAGTATTTTTGAGTCGACTCAAAAATAGGCATCTGAGTTTGAAACCTGCAGTATTTTTTAGTCGACTAAAAAAATAGGCATCTGAGTTTGAAACCTGCAGTAATTTTGAGTCGACTAAAAAATAGGCATCTGAGTTTGAAACCTGCAGTATTTTTGAGTCGACTCAAAAATAGGCATCTGAGTTTGAAACCTGCAGTATTTTTGAGTCGACTCAAAAATAGGCATCTGAGTTTGAACCTGCAGTATTTTTGAGTCGACTCAAAAATAGGCATCTGAGTTTGAAACCTGCAGTATTTTTGAGTCGACTCAAAAATAGGCATCTGAGTTTGAAACCTGCAGTATTTTTTAGTCGACTCAAAAAATAGGCATCTGAGTTTGAAACCTGCAGTAATTTTGAGTCGACTCAAAAATAGGCATCTGAGTTTGAAACCTGCAGTATTGGCCCTTGCACAGGATTTATTGCACTGAAAGTATTGAGTCTAGGGTTAACGACAGCCTCTATAATAAAGCCTGCATGGTCTCGAAAGGTTATACTGTGAGACAGCAATGGCCCTTGCACAGAAAGAAATGAGGTATGCCTTGAATGCTTTGAAACTGTGTCTGTCTGTCAATACTTTGAAAATTCTCAACCTCCTCTCTCTCTCCCTCTTCCCTCCACCCTCTTTCCCGTCCTTCCCTCCGCCCACCCCCACGCTGCTCTCTTCCCCACGCTTCTTTTCCCCCCTGCTCCCTGCCGTACCAGCCATGCCTACGTGTGCAGCCACCTGATTGGTCGGCCCGCCCGGATTGTGGATCGCACCACCCTCTCCACCACAGGCCTTGCCACGTGTCCATCCACCACTGGTATGTTGCCACATGTCCATCCACCAGTATGTTGCCACGTGTCCATCCACCAGTATGTTGCCACGTGTCCAAACACCTCTGGTATGTTGCCACGTGTCCAAACACCTCTGGTATGTTGCCACGTGTCCAAACACCTCTGGTATGTTGCTACGTGTCCAAACACCTCTGGTATGTTGCCACGTGTCCAAACACCTCTGGTATGTTGCCACGTGTCCAAACACCTCTCGTATGTTGCCACGTGTCCAAACACCTCTCGTATGTTGCCACGTGTCCAAACACCTCTGGTATGTTGCCACGTGTCCAAACACCTCTGGTATGTTGCCACGTGTCCCCACACCAATGACGTGCTGCCATGCGTCTGTGCAGTAACTCGCTTGCCAATGGTGCTTTTGAGTCGACTTAAAAGTGGACACTCTGTGCAGTACGAGGTGACTTTTGAGTCAGATTCAAAAGTCACCTCAGTGGAGGACACTCTGTGCAGTTACTCGCTTGCCAATGGTGCTGTCGAGCGAGATACTGCATTGGCAGCACGTCATTGCAGAGTATCCCTACACGAATATAACTGTTGTCAAGGTTCATGTCGGGAGTAGCAGCAAACCTTTAAAACACGCTTAACCTTTACAGGTTGCATCAGCAGCACGTCATTGCAGAGTATCCCTACATGAAAATAACTGTTGGGAATTCTCAAGAGTATCTCGCTTGCCAATGGTGCCTAGTATCTCTCCATCTCTGTCTGCTGTCGCTGTTTCCACCTCGTCCCTTCTCCTCCAGGTGTGATAAGTCGAGTTTTGAGTCGACTCAAAACTCGACTTTGACTGTTCTCCCTCCTCCCTCCTCTCCGCCAGGCATCTCATACGCTGCTGACCTGCTTCACTCGCTCGGCCTCTCCCATTGGCTGCCTCTTCTCCCCGAGATCTTGCCGCCCACCCACCCATGCGGTTAGTGCGCTGGCCACCCACCCGTGCTGTCAGTTTGCCGCTCAATTTCGTGCTGTTGTCATCATTCAACAATTTCTCGAGCGATACGAGTATCAAATCATCAATATCCAGTTTTGACACATCTCACTTTCTGAACATCTCAGTTTTGAAACGTCTCAGTTTTGAAACGTCTCAGCTTTGATACGAAATTGCATCTGGTCTTCTATATCTCCTTTTGAGACCACTCGCACCTCTCGCACCCCTCGCACCTCTCGCACCTCTCGCACCCCTCGCACCTCTCGCACCTCTCGCACCTTGGTCTGAGTATCAAAACAATGCTTAAATCCTTCCTCTGACCTGGCCTGGCTTCAACAGGCACCTTATCTGTTGAAGCAGCAGAGCGAATGGGAGCGCGCCACCTGGCGGGCATCCCTGTATTTCACTCGTGTGGAGACCTGGGAGCCTCTGCAGTGGGGTAATTAGTACCTCTGGGCATTTCGTTTTTGGGTAAATGATACTTCTGTGGTGAATCAAACTTAATCATAAGTAGTACCTTTGGTTGTAAATCAATTGTATATTTTGGTCAGTCCGATCCGAGTCTGGCAGGATTATTGAGTTGACCTCCACATTACACATCTCTTCCCAACATCCCCCTTTCCGCCCTCTCTCATTCCCCCTTCCATTCCCTACCCCAACAGGTGTGGAGCAGGCCTGCCCGGCACGGAGTACATCTATCTCGGCACCTCGGGGTGAGGCTTCAGTTACAGCAGAAGTGGTTGTGAGTCTTCACTTACAGAGTTGAGTCCTCATTTGAAGAGTTCTTTCAGCATCAACACCAGGTGTGGTGTAGCAGGCCTGCCCAGCACGGAGTACATCTATCTCGGCACCTCAGGGTGAGGCCTCACTTGCAGTGAAACAGTCTTCGGATCGGGGATTTTTTTTTTTTTCATTCACAGAGTGTACTTAGAGAGAGGCAGCCCAGGTGTTTTTTTAGAATTCTCAAAAAACATACGCAGCAGGCTTACCTGGCACAGAGTACAAGTACATCTATCTCGGCACCTTTTGAGACGTCTCAAACTATGTTGGAAAATACGCGACTCACGTACCAGTCGCGTACGTACTATCCGCTCACGTACGTACGTGAGACGGGCGAATTCAGGCCCAGGATACGCTCGAAATACGGTCGTCCGGGCAGGGGAAAAAAAGATCCCGGGCAGGGTAAAAAAGTGTGGGGGGGGGAGTCACGTTGCCTATGTTCATTGTGACCTTGTGCAGTTTGGTTTTCCCCCACGCATAAAACTTTTTTTTCCACATTACAAACATGCATTGCAAGTACACACATACTAGCAACTACTTGACGATACATCCCCTACCTCCCCTACTCCCCTACTCACATTCTTACTCCACGTACTCATCGGCCAGCACGCCTTCATCCCCCTCCTCCTCCTCCTCCTCCTCCTCCTCCTCCTCCTCCTCCTCCTCCTCCCCTTCCTCCTCTTTGGTGTATCCCTCCGGCAGAGCGGGTTCAGGTATGTTGCCCGGAAGCACCGCCAATGACTCACCCATCTTGTGGTACTTGTGGACCACCCTCCAGTTGTGGGTCACAAAAACGAGGTCTCGGAGCTTCTCCGAGCCTAGCCTGTTGCGGCGGGCAGTGTGCACCGATTCGAACGATGCCCACCCGCGCTCACACGGCGACGCCGACACCGGCTGTGTGAGGGCACGGCACGCAAGGCTGGCCAGGTGGGGGTGGTCAGTCCCGTGCCATCCCCACCACGCCACCATCGACTGCTTGCCTGCCTTCACGGCCTCCCTGTCGGCAATTGCCTCAGGAAGGCTGAAGGAACCTTCAAGGGTGAGGAAGGCCGTGAGCCCCTCCTGCAAAACAAGAGAGGCACGCCTCTCCTCACCCTCCTTGTTGGTGAACGTCTTACCGTCGTAGTGGCGTGCGATGAAGGCTTTGAAGATGCGCGTACATTCCATGTCATTGCGGAAAATACCCTCTTCCTGGTTTGCCGGGTTGAGGATCCGCCCCACGACGTGAAGAGCGCATGCAAGGCTCTCGTCCCAACGGCGCCTAACAATCTTCCCAATGTCAGTCGCAACCGCCCGCGGCAGAATCTTCTCCCCCGCTTCCAGCTTGTCGTTCACGTCCTCGGTCAGCTGGAGCATTAGGTCGTAGATAGTCCCCATCATCCCTTTGGCGCTGCTGTCCGTGGCCCGCATCACCTTAAAGGGAATCGCTAAGAGCTCCGCCAGGTAGGTAGCGTTCTTCCACCATGCATCGTCCATGATTTGGCCGCGGAACGTATCCGCCGTCTGCTTCCTAGCCCCCGCCGACCAGTTGGCGAACTCCTCGCTCAGCACCATCTGCGACAGCGTGGACCGCAGCTCGACGAGCCGTGAGAGGGCGATGTAGTTGGTGCCGAACCTGGTCCCCGCCGGCTTCACAAGCTGCTTCCCCTTTCCTTTCTTCACCTTCTTACTCCTCAGGTAGTTGCGGGTGAAATGGTGGTTGCGGACGTAGGTGATCATGTCTCAGCACAGATCCACAATGTCTTTGCACCACTCCATCAGGAGGTCGAGCACGTGCGTAGCGCACGGCACGTACTCGATATGGGGCCATTCCGCCATCAACTCCCTGCAGGCGGCCCCGTAGTTGGAGCCTCCGTCCATGCAAAGAGCGACTACGTTGTCGGGCCCCACTTTCTCGATGATGGGGCGGAGGAGAGACGCGATGTAGCCGCCGGTTTTGGACTCCATGTTGCAGTCAATGGCCTCGACGAACACCGCTCCCGAATCGTTGACCAGCATGACGTTCGCCTGCGGCCTCCCGCACCGATCGGTCATCAAGTCGGAGGAGACGGTGACGCCATCCCTCTTCCAGCTAGCGGGGCGATTGGCTGAAGCCCCTTCTCGATGCTCGTGCGGCATTGCTTCAGCCCAGCTCCTCCCACGTACTTCCGCCGCGGCGCGATGTAACCGTGGGGTGCGTTGTTAATGGCGCTGACCATGTTGCGCCACAGCGGGTTGTCGGCGTGGTGTTCGGGAATCCGACAGCCGGCGAAGAACAAACAGACGGCGTAGTTCGCCTCGCCCTTCTTGCATTGCGCGCCGTCGTCAATGAAGTCGGTGATGCGTCCTCTCTTCGCACCTCCCGCGACAGCATTGAGCGCAGCATCCTCGGCCCGCCGTTTTTCGTCGCGGTTGGACGCCTTCTTCTCGTAATGCGCGCGCACCGCCGCTTGCACGTCAGGCGGAACCTTAGCGCACAGGCGGACGTCGCGAGAGCGCTGTCCCTTCCATTTCGCGAGATGCTGAGCGCATCGAAACGCACCACCCTTGAACTCGATGGCGCAATACTTGCGAACGCGGACAGTCCCGACTGTGTCGGGACGGATGGGAACCTTGAAATGCTTGAAAACCACATGAGTACTATCCTGCTCCAGCCATTGCGCCTCCGAGGTCGAGGCTGAAGGATCAGTAGGCTGAGTTGACGGAACAGAAGGCTGAGTGGGGTCAGACGGGACTGGAGTAGACATAGCTCAACACTGAACAGTAATGAGAACTGGATGAGACATGTGTGGAAATGGGGTCAATTATACTTACCACGCATTGGTTGTGGGGTGGGGGACGTGCCGTGGTTGGTCACGAGGTGTTGGGGGTGATTGGGCGCAATGTTGATGTTCGTGGGGTGAACGTGGCGATTCGGTTTTGCGCGTCCCCTGGTTGGAAAAACGCGTCCCGAAATGTCGGTATACGTGCGTACGGAAAAAGCGCGAACTTTTGTTTTTTTTTTTTTTTTTTTGGCCTGCCCGGAGTTCCGTATCGCGTATTTGTCCCCGTTTCACGTTTTCGCGTTTATACGTGAACGCATATACGTGAAACGTAAAATTTCAAAAACGTATAGTCCAACATAGGTCTCAAAAGCTATCTCGGCACCTCGGGGTGAGTTGTCACATGCAGCAGATGAAGCAGACCTCAGGGTTAATCCTCACTCATTGTGATTATGCAGCAGCAAGACTAGATGCCTACTCGGCACGGAGTACATCTTTCTCGGCACCTCGGGGTGGAGCTTCACTCACAGCAGTAGAAGTTGTGAATCCCCACTCAAAGAGATGAGTCCTCATTCGTAGAGTTTCCTCAGCAGCAACACCAGGTGTAGATCAGGCATACCTGACGCAGAGTTTACTCTGTTGTTTTCCCTTCAAATCGGAAATCAAATCTTGCTCAAGGTCATCAGAGATCATAGAGGATGGTCTACGCTACGCCTTCTCCGTGAGTTGTTTTTGGGCTCGCCATCACGTAGCTATCACCCCCTCCCTGTCGTTCTTCTAGGTGACTTTTGAGTCGACTCAAAAGTCACCTCGTTGCTATCACCCCCTCCCTGTCGTTCTTCTTCCGCCTCCCATTGTTCAAGAAAAAAATATTGGAAGTGCTCAAGTGCTTGAGCAACCCTTCAGCAACCTCTCAATCACTCGAGGTCTTTCAATGCTGTTTTCTTGAGCAATGAGAGGTGGAAGAAGGATGCAGGGGGATGGATGTAAGCTATGTGATTGAAACAACCCACGGGGGTGTATTAGTCCGATCTTCCAACTTGATTGGATGTCCAGAAGATTCAGGCAGGTGGCTGAGCTGTATTCAATCTAACAAATGAAGGATCTCCAAAGCATTCAGCAGTCCAAAAACCTTGGACAGGGATGAATGACCTCGTAAATAATTGGGCTCTTACGTTATAAATTCGGTATTTTAAAGTCTGATGTGGAATGCCATCCAAGTCCTGCCATCCAAGCCATGCCGTCCAAATCCGGCCATTGGAGTCCTCTTCGTGCTGCCTCTTCCAACCCTCTTTCCCCGCCCCTGGCCGGTTTGTTGCTTCCATCACCACGAGCAACGTCACCACCGTTCCGTTTCTCTCCCCCTCCTCTCTCTCCCTCCTCTCTCTCCCTTATCCCCACCCCCCGGTTTCCCGCCCCCGTTCCCAACCCCCATCTCAACACATCAGGTGGGAGGCCTGGTCCTTTCCCCTACAACCAACCTGCTTTCGAGTCGACTCAAATGCCTTTTCTCTCTCCCTCCTCTCTCTCCTCTCCCGCACTCCTCCACCACCCCCCTTCCCACCTCCCTCTGAACAATTCAGGTGGGTTGCTGGGTCCTTTTCCCTGCAACCACTTTTCCAACCATCCGACCAGTCACCCAACAAGTCACCGCTAGCATCAGTGGTGCAACCGCCTTCGTGGTCTCAGGGCGTGTTCACTCTCGCTCACCCTGACCCTTCTTTGGTCTTCAGAACAGGTATACCAACATATACCAACTGAAGGTCCCATGTTAAATCTGGTTTCCGCACAGGTGAGTGAGGATGGGTGGAGATCGGTGATGATGGGTGGAGATAGGTGAGGATGGAGTTTGAGGTGTGGCGGTGTAAGGTATGAGTGAGGTCATGTATGTGTGCACGTGCTTGGTCATGCATGCAATATCACGTACCCTTGTCTGACCTTCCAATAGTGACCATGTGCCATGGCCCCCATGAGCCAAGCGCACCCACATGCCAATAGCACCACCAATATGTGCAAAACCCACCCATGTGCAAAACCCACCCATGTGCAAAACCCACCCTTGTGCAAAACCCACCCTTGTGCAAAACCCACCCATGTGCAAAACGCTCCCATGTGCAAAACGCACACTGCCATGCGCAAAACGCTCCCATGTGCAACGCACGCACCCCCATGTGCAAAGCACACGCACCCATGTGCCAATAGCACCACACCAATATCCCCGTCCATCTCCCACCACCAGCGCCAGTGATGTGCTCTCTCCTGCACGTGCATACCCATGTCTCGTCCCCCAACGTTGCCCATGTGTCAGTGTCAGTATCGACCATACCTGTCCATGCCCCCACCAGCGCGAAAAATGACAGCAGGGGACAGTTTCAAGTGGGACTCTCAGGTATTGGCACTCTCCTCAGCAGCAGCAGCAGAAGCAGCAGAGAGTGGGAGTGGCAGTGGCAGTGGCAGCAGCAGTGGCAGCAGTGGCAAGTGTGTGTCTGTGTGTTTCCATCCCCCACCAGCGCCGATAATGACGGCAGGGGGGCAATGTCAAGTGGGCTCTCAGCAACCTCCTCAGCAGCAGTGGCTTTGGCAGAGGGAGTGTGGCAAATGCTTCTCACCTTTGTTGTGTGTTTCCATCCTCCCACCAGCGCCGATAATGACCGCAGGGGGCAATGTCAAGTGGGCTCTCAGCAACCTCCTCAGCGGCAGCAGCAGCGGCAGCACTGGCAAGTCTTTATCTACTGTAACGCTGTGTGTCGATTCATTTATGCAAGGGTTTTTGCATGTTGTGCGCATGGGTGGGCATGCTTATGTGTGTCTGCATGTGCATGTACGTGCATCTGCATGTTACCACATGGGCCAATTTGAATCAGGTTATCATCACATGCCGTTCCGCCAATTACCTTCAACGTTCCCTCAAACCAGACGTCGCAGAGTCTGCCTTTCGCAATGCTGACGTGGCAGCAGCATCCGTGCCAGCTGGCAGTGGTGGCCTCCTTTACCTTCCGTTCCTAAATGGTGACTCGAAAACACATCATCATCATCACCATCGTCCTCTCAAAATACTTCATCCTCTCAAAACACTTTATTGCATCAAGAATACAATCTTTTACAATCTTTTGCAGTTGTTCCTGCATGTTCACTCGCCTTCCATGCCATGCCATGCCATGCTGTGCCATAATCTCAGGCGAGCGGTGTCCATTTGAGGACCCCAACATGCGGGCGGCATTCATCGGCATATCTGCCTCTACCACTCATTCACAGATGATACGTGCAGTATGTCCAGAGCATGCCCCATGGCATGGTATGGTATGGTATGGTATGGTATTATATGGTATGGTATTGGTATGGTATGGTATGGTATGGTATGGTATGGTATGGTATGGTATGGTATGGTATGGTATGGTATGGTATGGTATGGTATGGTGTGGTACGCATAATACGCCCTCCTTTTGGCCCATGCTGCCATGTACGTATGAAAATATCTTGTCACTTCCGTTGCTCTTCTGCTGCTCTCAGCAACACACCGCCAAGCACACAAGCAGGACCTCTTGTCGCTGCTACTGCTCATCCCTGCCCCTTCCACTACCCCACCCACTTGCGATTCTTGCCCTTTTCTACCTTCCCTCCTCCGCTCATCCCCTCCGGTTTAAGAGGGAGTGGCAAACGCACTGCTTTCAGGCAACACCGCCAGCCACACGTGCAAGACTTCTTTTCACTGCCATTCCTCATCCTTGCATTTCCCACTAATCCCCTCCCCTCCATCACTCATCCCCGCAGGTCCAAGAGGGAGTGGCATATGCACTGCTCTCCGCCCACGCCGCCATGCACGCACACGATGGTGGCAGCGGAAGCAGCAACCCCTCTGCTCTGCGCATTGTTGGTGGTGGCGCTCGGTATGTCCATGCAATGCTGTCACCGTTCCTTCTTTTGAGGCGGCTCAGAAGCCTTTTTAGGCGGCGCAAAGCCATTTTAGGTGCCACAAAAGCCTTTTTAGGCGCCACAAAAGTCAGAAGCAGCAAACCTTCTGCTCTGCGCATTGTTGGTGGTGGCGCTAGGTATGTCCATGCAACGTTGTTACCATATCTTACTCTCCTCATCATGTTACCACTCCATAAATTGCAATTGTTTGACCTCTCTTTTTTTCTTCCTTTGCACTATCCAGATGCTTGATAGATTTTCTTCCTTTTTTTTTTACCTTTTCAACAATTTTTTATGCCTACTTTTTTCTAAACATCTAGAAGCCCTAGAATTGTCTCGTTTAACCTTCTCCAACTTTTCATGTGTCTGTGTCTCCTCTCATCCTTCCTGTGGACTTGATTTTTTTTTGGCTTGTCTCCTCTCATCCACCTCAACCCTCTGCAATTTTCACTGCCACCTTCCCCACTCCCTCTAGCTCATCAGCTTGGTTTCGCATCATGGCATTCTGTGTTTAACTGGAGGTGATTTCCGAGTTAACTCAGAAGCATCCTTGGTCAACAAGAGGTTTGTTTTTAGCTGAAACTTTGCGTCAAAATCTACATTTTCTACCCGTCCCCCCTTCCCTCCCCCCACACTACTCTCTCTCTCCAGCTCGTCAACTTGGGTTCGCATCATGGCATCCTTGTTCAACTGGAGGTGATTTTTAGTTCAATTTTCTCCTAAAAATATGCATCTTCTACCCCTCCACCCTACGCTCCCCCTCACCCTCCACTCCCACCCTCCCCCTTTCCCGCCCAACCTCCCTCCCCCCTCCCCCACTCTCTCCCCAGCTTTTCAGCTTGGGTTCGCATCATGGCATCCGTGTTCACCGGAGGTGATTTTTAGTCAACTTGATCTTTCCCTACCCCTCCGCTGTTCTCCCCCCTCTCCCCCCCTTCCACCACTCTCTCCCCAGCTCGTCTACTTGGGTCCGCATCATGGCATCCGTGTTCAACCGGCCAATCGACTGCCTCGCTGATTCTCAGGTGGAGTTATCTCATTCCAGTAAACTGGCGCCATGTGGTTCTCACGGCACCTCGAAACTGCTTAGCACTTTCAAGGTGTCTCGTATCTTGTGAGGACGTTTGAGACGACTATATGTTACATGGTGTGTTGGGGTTAAACCAAACTGGTGTGTGCGTGTTGTGCAAGGCATGTGGTGGTCCCATACAAGGCACCACATGCAGTGCTTTGTTTGTTGATACAACTCGAGTCCTGCTCTCGTTGTCCGTTGTGAATGCATTTTCCGCACTGCTCTGTTTATTTCAGGAAGTTGGGGTGAAAGGTGCCGCCATTCTCGCTGCTCAAGGTCTGGGCTGGTTCTCTACCTTGGCTCCTTTACACGGTAAAAACAATTTGCAGGATTCCCTTTTCAAGTTAACGAAGGAAGATTTTGCATATTCCTTGCCCCAGAGTTTACAGAGATGGGTTGTTTGTGTGCAGGTAAATGGGCACTTATAGAACGATCAGAAGTACCGGACCTTGCAGATTCGATTGTCTATACCAAAATGTTTGATGCATATTGCAAGGGTGCTCCTGCTTTGGCACAATGTTACAACATTTTGAGTAATGTATCTCAACAAACATAACTGCATTTCGTACCTCATTCATGTTTGAATGTTGTTTTCAAGTCTCCTGAAAAGTCGACAGCTGTACACATTTATAATTATTATTGGCATCATTTCACTTCTGTTTGTAGCAACTGAGTAACTTGATGCTTGTTTTTTCATGTGTAAGTAAATTGGTTTCCTGTGTTGTGAATATTTTCCAAGCACTTCTACAGATTCGATACAATTTCGATCGCCAAACCTCCAGCGCTACTCTCGGGGACTGGGTCCCGGCAGTTCACACAGGCTTGATGGTGGATCTACAGTGTGTTATATGACAGTTGTTCAAGCGCAAAACCAATCCATGCACTTTCCCGCGCACGATTTTTCGAACCGCAAGAGGCGCCGCCGAGGCACCTTGCGACGCTGAGCGTCCAAAAAACAAATTGACCAATCGCTGCACTGCATGAAAATTGCTGTTTGCGCCAGCCGCAGAAATTGCGATCATCGACAAAGATGCGCCTCGTTCGGCCGTTGAGAAACACGCGGCTCCATCCTGCTCATGCCCTGCCCAACTTTTGTCATGCCACACGCACACCTACTGCTTATCTCTCCTCCCCATCTCTCTGATCAAACTCTCTCACCGACCCCTGATGTCGAAATTTGTGCCGTTCCTTTCCACCGTTCTTCAGCATTTTTCGTTTCGAAATCCCGACCCTGCTTTCAAGTCCCCCCAGACCTTACCCCCCCCACTGGCGAGTTAGCGCTCCCCCATAACCAGGCGAAAAGCGTGCTTGAAGCAGTCCAGAGTCAGACCAACCCCCTCCCGTGTTACCTGCCAGCCTCAGCGACGGAAGTTTCCGTCAATTTCTGCTACCGTCAGCAGCGCAACATCTCAATCAGTCCGCACAACACGCACAAACTGAGATCTCAGCAGTGTTTCCACCCTCCGTCCGTTTGCAGAGAACTACAGACCTTTGCCATCAGTTTGCAACAACTCCGTTATACTCCCCACTTATCGCGCCATCCTAGCGGCACCCATTACTGTACCGCGCGCCTCAAAGACTCTTCTTCACGTTTGTCCATCCCCCGTCTCGTCCTCTCATCACCCCATTTACCATCGAAGCTCATCGAAGCTCAACCACCTATCCCAGCAGCAACCTTAGCTGCTTCGGTTTAGCCTTCTCCGTGTGATGCGACTTAATACTTTTCGCAGTTTCCCGTCTAGGAGCTAGCGACCACATCGGGCCTAGTCAGCTAGGATCGCGGAACTACTCAAGCTTCGGCCCGGGGCGTCTGTATTCTATGAGCAAAGAATAGAAGACGGATTTGACCTTTCAGTAGAGAAGAAGCTCCTGGCGTGCATGATATTAAAGTCATAGAACCGTGGTGTCGTTTTTCAGGAGTGACCAGTAACGATGCCGTCCTTAGGGGAGTTTCGACGGGTGATTTCATGAGCTTCCTACGTGAGTAAGAAACTACCGTCGCGTACCGTTAGCTAACAGAGTAGCAGACGCTAACTGCAACCGAGTAGCAGACGCTAACTGCAGCCGCCTTAGCAAACGAAAACAATGGCGTCGACTCGCAAACATGATCCTCGCCCCCCTGACGCGGACCAGCCTCGGCGTCTGCCGAGTCCTCGCCGTCTTCCCAGTCCCAACCGCCTACCTAGCCCTAATCTCGCTCGCCGGCACATAGCCAACGCCAAGTCCTCCGATTTTCTGGGAACAACGGCTCTTCGCTCGCCCGGTGCACAAGTCCCGGCTCTGTGCAATGTGCAGCCGCATGTGATTCAGAAATCCATGACGTGGCAGGATTCTGTTCCTGGTCCGCGCCCGCAATCTCCAGCGGAAAAGCCGCTCTCGCCTAATGCGAAGGCTCCCACGCCGAGTAGCTGGCACCGGCCGTCACGGAGCTTTCGCAGTAGCATAGGCAGCGGCGGCAGCGGCGGGGATCGGTTGGCGCCGTCCAGCGCGATTCTCGCTGCTGGCCGGTCGGCAACTGCCGTGATTGCTGCTGCCACGTCATCCCCGTCAGCCAATGAGCTGTTTGCGCGAGGAAGCAGCGTTAACGGAGCCAGGAGGAGCGGCGGAGAAAGCGGGGAGATTGTCCGCCCTCCATCACCCTCTCCCGGCGAAGCATCTTCTCCGTCAGGTTTCCGTCTGTCCAGCATAGTTCCGAACCCGTTCCGCAGACGGAACAAAGAGAACTTTGCGTCAGCAGCCGTTTATGACGTTAACATGCTTGAGCCGGAAGAGAGCGAATCCTCCGCGAGCGGCGGTAACTACGCGATCGCTCCATCCTGCACACGGGGAAGGTTCAGCCCGCGCCGCAGCAGGCCGAGCCCGAGCCGCGAGCGGCGGAAAAGTAGCGACGGGAAAGGCCTCGGGATTTTCGGGAGCGACGGGAGAGGATCTGTGTCCCGCTCCAACAGCAAAGAAGCGCGCTATTTGCTTGCTGAGCTGGATGCTTGCGCGACGACCATGACACCTGCCGCAGACGCGGTAGGCGCAGCGTCATCGTCGGCGGGGATCAGCGCGCAGTCGCTTGCACTGGTGCCTGCGCGCGCGCGCGGCGGAAGCGGGGGGAACTGGGGGGAGCTGATGGCGGGGAGGAGGGCGGAGGAAGCGGCGGCAGTGGCAGCGGCGGTGGGGGAAGAGAGCGCGGAAGTGGTGATGGGCATTCTGTGGAAGTGGGTGAACCTGGGACGAGGCTGGGGCATGCGGCTGTTCGTTCTGGAAGGGGTAAGTACGCGATGTGAGAACTCTCAAAACTGGTTGTTTCCCGGCAGTTGTCCTGTTTATTGACCACATCGGACGGACCCCCGTCGCACTTTTTTTTTTTTCTCGAAAGTGTCGAAGCATTTTCGAGTAAGTTCAAAGAGTGGCAGCCTGGGACCTAGATATCTCCCTATGTTATGGTTCGGCAATTCCAAGGTGGGATCCGGATGATTCCCAGTGCCATCCGGGGGCAAATCCAAGGTGAGAACCAAAGAACTCCCGGTGTAAGCATGCGAGATACGAAGGTCGCACCCAAATGAACCTCAGTGTCATCATACGGTAATACCAAGGCGGGTCCTGGATAATCCCTTGCATTTCCAACAATGGGTTCCTTTCAAGGAAATTCTGAATTCCAGTCCACCAAGACCGATTTCCTAGGTCCAAACGCATCTCGAGTCACTAATATCTACGCGAGACATAACTGTCTCTGTTCAGTAGCATATAATTATATCGTATATCACTCTGCATCCCGCCTTTGTCTCCCACCAGGGCCTGCTGTCTTACTTCAAACTAGAGGGCCCTGATCGGGTAACCGTGTTACAGGAGCTTGAGCGTCGCCCTCGAGCCCGACTGATCGGTGATGAGATTCGCCATTTGGTGAAGAAGGAGCGCGAAGATGGGGTCGTGCCTAACGAAGGCGAGCTTGGCGATCGCATGCCACATGGCAGCGTCCGATTGGAGGTTTCGACGCTCCGAGCCAGCACGACTGACGGTAGAAAGTTCTACGTTTTCGGGACGAAGACGCTCGGATTAAGGACGGAATCTAAAGCCGGGAGGTTACTATGGATGGACGCGCTTCAAGCCGCGAAAATGAAGCACCTTCAGTTGATTCGCGCCTCGGCACAAGCTCCTTCGATAAATGATTCCAGGCTGGTAGCCGCGTCGTCGCTGGCCATGGAGCCGCTAAGAGCGTACTTAGCGAGCATAAGTGTGGGTGTGGAGGAGATAGCTAAGTGCGAGGAGATAGTGAGGCGACAAGTGGTGTTCAGGCTGGAGAATAAACTGCGGGAGGAGCAGAAGCGGCGGTTGCAGCTTTTGCGGTTATTGAGGCAGCTTGAAGCGGATAAGGTTGAGTTGGAAACGGCTATGCTGGAAGAGACGAGGAACCAGGGTTACGCAGGCAACAGCGTCGTCATGAGTACGTCTGCCAATCTCCAACCCCTCACACCCGAGGCTACTCATTCACTCTCTCTCCCTCTCCCCCTAATTCAGAATGAATAGGACATGTAAGTCTCCCTCATCCTGTAACGCCTCCTCGGTCGATGTGACATGTTTTTTTAAGACTCTTCCAAATACTTCTCATCTTCTGATGGTTATCTCGTCTTACTTCCAAATCCTTCTCACCTTCTGATGGTTTATCTCGTCTACCTCCCGCTAGCTTGTTCTCCTTCCTCGATTCGTTATCCCACTCAGCCCCCACTCAGCCTCTTATCCTCTAACCCTCGGTAAATGTGACTTGAGAATGGTTCTGGTGATACTTCTTCCCAGTTCTTCTCCTCTTCTGAGTGTTTATTTCTTCCATATCCCGTTCCTATTTCGCCGTTTTTATCCGTTTCCACCTCGCATTCACCCCTTATTCCTCGACTCCTTCATTTCCTCCCTTATGTGACCCCACCTGCACAGCTGGCGATGGCGATGATGCCAGCACAACCTTTGATGAGGACGAGGAGGAGGACGATGAAGAGGATGACGAAGAGGAGGCGGAAGGGGAGGAGGAGGAAGCTGGGGGTGATCAGGAGGCTGACAGCAGTGCGGTTACTAGTTCAGGTCACGGGCTGTTGAAGCGCAGTGGGAGCGACCTCAGGTCAAGGCAAATTGGTAGCAGCGGCCGCAGGTCTGGGAGGGCTCGGAGCAAGGCTCGGCGCGCTGCCAAGGCCGACGTGTTGGCTCGGGACAATGACGAGGACGAGGGAGGGTCGGGCAGCAGCGGCGGGCAGGATGACGAGTTTTTCGAAGCCATGGATGATTTCGTCAGCTCTGGGAGTGTGCTGACTGTGCTGGATATTCAGGAGGTATGTGGGAGTGGGATGGCTGGGCCTCATGTGTCAAGGAAGTGCATTGTATTCTCTGAGTCAGCTCGGGGAGTGTGCATCAAGCCGGCCAGCATCTGGTCGATTCTCAAAGACCTGGTGGGCAAGGACCTCTTCAAGGTGACTCTGCTTCTTATTTCCCGTGCTCTTTCCCCCGCTTTCTCCCAATCGCCCTCTCTCCAACTGCTCACCAGGTGGGATTCACGTACCCCAAGATACCTCGAAGGGAGCGCCTGCCTTCCCCAGCGGAGGAGGAGAAGCCGGTCAGCATCTGGTCGATTCTCAAGGACCTGGTGGGCAAGGACCTCTTCAAGGTGTCGCTGCTTCTTCTTTCGCGTGCTCTTTCCCCCACCCCTCCCCAACCCCCCTACCGCCCAATCCACCACCCAATTCCCATCAACCCACCAGGTGGGATTCACGTACCCCAAGATACCTCGAAGGGAGCGCCTGCCTCCGCCAGCGGAGGAGGAAAAGCCGGTCAGCATCTGGTCGATTCTCAAGGACCTGGTGGGCAAGGACCTGTTCAAGGTGTCGCTGCCTGTGAGCTTCAACGAGCCCATCAGCACCAACCAGAAGTACTGCGAGACGTACGAGTACAGCTGGCTGCTCGACCGCGCAGCAGAATACGGCCGCCGGGTGAGTGCACAGCTTGCTTGCTAACTGCTGGTTTCCTGCTTGCTTCACAGCATAGCGTGCTGCTTGCTTTCTTCTGGCTCAGCATTCCTTGGGTAGGGTGGGCGGACGGGCTGTCAGGCGAATGGACTGTAAGGGAAACGGTGGGGTTTGAGTGGGGTCCTTGCAGCGAGTCTGCCTGTGAGCTTCAACGAGCCCATCAGCACCAACCAGAAGTACTGCGAGACGTACTAGTACAGCTGGCTGCTCGATCGCACCGCTGAGTACGGCTGCCGGGTGAGTGCACAGCTACCTTGCCGCTTGCTTGGTCTGAAATTCCATTAATGGAGCAGGAGAGTACTCGTTCTCCTTGTTCGACGAGCAGGGCAACAAGCCAACAAGGGCAGTGCACGAGGCAGTGTTCGCAGTGTCTCTTGGCCATCGATATTCGTACCCAACATGCCCACTCCACACTCCATCCCCCCTCCCTTCCACCGCCAGGGCAACAAGCTAATGAGAGCAGTGCACGTGGCAGCGTTTGCAGTGTCACGGTACTCGGGCAACGCTGGGCGCATGCACAAGCCCTTCAACCCGCTGCTGGGAGAGACGTTTGAGGCGGACTGCCCCGACAAGGGCTTCCGATACGTCTCAGAGGCGGTGAGTTGATCCGTTGCATCTCATGGTTGTTCCGTTACATCTCAGAGGCACCACCACTACACCCCAGAAACGGGGATGCTTTAGGCATGCACGCATGCACACGCCTGTCAACCTTCTGCTGCTGCCAACCATTCTCACTCGTGACTCTGCCCTTGCCCCGTCTGTCTTCCCTCCCCTCCCCCCCAGGTGCTGCATTATCCCCCCACGCTGTGTGGAACTGTGAGGGCACGGGGTGGCGCAGCTGGGGGGACGCGTGCCTCAAGGTGCCTTCCCCTCCTCCCCCCCTCCCCTCCCCCCCCCACAGGTGCTGCACTATCCCCCCACGCTCGCGTGGAACTGCGAGGGCACGGGGTGGCGCAGCTGGGGGGACGCGTGCCTCAAGGTGCGCTTCTGGGGGCCGTCCGTGCAGCTCGACCCCGTCGGTGTGCTCTCCGTGGCGTTCGACGACGGGGAGGTCTTCGAGTGGAGCAACGTGACGGTGTCGATTCAGAATCTGATTCTTGGGAAGCCATTTGTGGACCATTATGGCACGATGAGGATCCGGGGGAACCGGGGGTTCTCGGCACGGCTGCGATTCAAAGAGCGGTCGACTTTCGATCGGAATCCCCATCAGGTGTGCATGTGTGTGTGGGTGGGTTTTTCCAGGTAGGTGTCTTTGTGTTTGAGTGGAGCAACGTGACGGTGTCCATTCAGAATCTGATTCTCGGGAAGCCGTTTGTGGATCATTACGGGACGATGAGGATCCGGGGGAACCGGGGGTTCTCGGCAAGGCTGCGGTTCAAAGAACGGTCCACTTTTGACCGGAACCCCCACCAGGTATGCATGTGTGTATGTATGCGGGCTTTCCCAGGTACCTGTGTTTGTCTTAGAGTGGAACAACGTGACGGTATCCATTCAGAATCTGATTCTTGGAAAGCCATTTGTGGACCATTATGGGACGATGCGGATTCGGGGGAACCAGGGGTTCTTGGCGAGGCTGCGGTTCAAAGAGCGGTCGACTTTCAACCGAAATCCCCATCAGGTATGTGTGTCATTGGTTGCCAGCCAGGTGTGTGCCTTGGTGGCTGATGGTGTGTGTGTGCGCGTGTGTGTGTGTGTGTGTTGATGTGTGTGCGTGTGTGTATTGATGTGTGTGTGTGTTTGTGTGTTGATGTGTGTGTGTGTGTGTGTGTGTGTTGATGTGTGTGTGTGTTGATGTGTGTGTGTGTTGATGTGTGTGTGTGTGTGTTGATGTGTGTGTGTGTGTGTGTGTTGATGTGTGTGTGCGTGTGGGTGTGTGTGTGTGTGTGTGTGTGTGTGTGTGTTGATGTGTGTGTTTGCGAGGATGGAGAGGTGTGTGAGAGCAGGAGGTCTTGAACCCTCCATGTGGCAAAACAAATCAGAAACTCTATGAACAGAACGAAATGGGAGAGAATAGAAGTGATTGGGGGGGGGCGGAGCTGAGCAGCAAAGTCCCAGAAGGAGGAAAGCGAGGTGCCGGCCATGGCACAGCAACATAGCTCCCATCTTCTTCCCTCCCTGCCTTACCCTCTCGCCTGCTACTCCTTGGATTTCCCTCTCCCCCGCTCCTCTCACCTGCTCCCACTTCCCTTTCCATCTCCTCCTCTCCTCCCTGCTGACATCCGCATGTTCACAATGCAGGTCAGAGGCATAGTGCAGAGCGATGACGGGGAGAAGGAACTCTCGTGGGGAGGGGGACCAGTTCCTGCACTTTGTGCCGGGGGAGCTGAGCAGCTAGTCACAGAAGGAGGAGAGCGAGGTGCTGGCCACAGCTCAGCTGCAACTCTCCTGTTCCCCCCGTCCCTTTCTTACTGTCTCCCCTTCTCCTCCTCCCTGCCTTTCCCTCTCCCCCGCTACCCCCTGCTCCCATGCGTATTCACACCCACTACAGGTGCGGGGCATAGTGCAGAGTGACAATGGGAAGGAAAAAGCCACGCTGGTGGGGCGGTGGGTGGGACCAGTTCCTGCACTTTGTGCCGGGGGAGCTGAGCAGCAAGTCACAGAAGGAGGAAAGCGAGGTGCTGGCCATAGCTCATCCCCAAATCCCTTCCCTTCTCCCTGCTCCCTCCTCCCTCTCCCCCTCTCCTCCCTGCTCCCATGCGCGTTCACAATGCAGGTCAGGGGCATTGTTCAGAGTGATGACGGGGAAGAAAAAGCCACCCTGGTGGGGCGGTGGGACCAGTTCCTGCACTTTGTGCCGGGGGAGCTGAGCAGCAAGTCGCAGAAGGAGGAGAGCGAGGTGCTGGCCACGGCACAGCTGCTGTGGCAGAAGTGCGCCCCCTCGCCCTTCCCCTGCAAGTACAAGTTCACGCCCTTCTGCATCACCCTCAACGAGATGACTCCGGGACTCAAGGTGAGTTTACTCTTTGCAACCTCAGAGACCCCTGTCACTCTCTACAGTTTGTGTACTGACGGTTAGGTTAAGAGAGGAGGCAGCAGAAGTGCGCCCCCTCGCCCTTCCCCTGCAAGTACAAGTTCACGCCCTTCTGCATCACCCTCAACGAGATGACTCCAGGACTCAAGGTGAGGATTAGTTCCATAGCCTCTCAAGATGGAAACGTGCTCTCTACTTTTACGGAGGTGAGGAGGAGTTGCTGTAAATAGAGCTTTTGAACTGACGCTGAACCAAGTGAGGAGGCATTAGAAGTGCGCCCCCTCGCCCTTCCCCTGCAAGTACAGCAAGTTCACGCCCTTCCGCATCACTCCCAATGAGTTGACTCTGGGGCTCAAGGTGACTCACCTTTTAGGTTCTCGAATGTGGTCTATAGTTTCTCCAAGTGAGTAGTTGTTCCTTAGTGTTTGTCACTCTCGCCACCTTCCTCCTGGTAATTTTCTTTCCTTAGCTTCACCATTGCTTTCTCTCTCCTCCCTTGCTCACGTCGTCCTATCCTTCCCTTCCCCATCACAGGTGCACCTCCTTCTGACCGATTCTTGTCTGCGGCCGGACTAGCGGGCCTTGGAGGGGGAGATGTTTCTGTGAGGCGCCTCACCATTTGCTTCCTTTCTTCCCTCCGCTTCCCATCCCAGGAACACCTTCCCCCCACGGATTCCCGTCTGCGGGAGGACCAGCGGGCGTTGGAAGAGGGATACTATGATCGGGCGATTCAGGAGAAGTCACGTCTGGAGCAGAAGCAGCGCAAGGTGAGAGGAGGGCTTTCGGTGTTGGGTGTGCTTGTTTACGGCTGTGCTTGGAGGCATGAAGAGAGGGAGCATGTGGTGTGGGAAGTAGTGTGGAACAGAGGTATCCTATGACCTGGCGATTCAGGAGAAGTCTAGGCTGGAGCAGAAGCAGCGCTATTCCTCGACTTCTCCTGCATTTTCTTTCTCTTCCACACCCACCCCCCTCCCCCCACCCACTTCTCAAAATCTGTGTTTGTGTTCTTCCTTGCAGGCTCTGAAAGCAGGCAAGCCGGGGTGGCACCCGCGATGGTTCCAACAGCAAGGGGGACCAAGGAGCACGCGGACTTACGTGGGGGAATACAAGCACTCATACTCATCATCCTCTCTCCCCACATCCCTGCCTCTTCTTTTTCCCTGCAGGCGCTCAAGGCAGGCGAGCCGGGGTGGCACCCGCGATGGTTCCAGCAGCAAGGGGGGCCGGGGAGCACGTGGACATACGTGGGCGGGTACTGGGAGCGGCGAGGGGCGCACGACTGGTCGGGAATTAAGGATTTATTTGCGGATGATGAGGAGGAGAACCGGCAGAAGGAGCAAAGGGGGAAGGAGCAGCGGGAGAAGGAGCAGCAGGAAAAGGAGCAGCGGGAGAAGGAGCAGAAGGAGAAGGAGCAGAAGGAGAAGGAGAAGAGGGAGAGAGAGCTGAAAGAAAAGGAGCAGAAGGAAAAAGAGCAGAAGGAGAAGAAGCAGAGGGAGAAGGAGCAGCAGGAGCAAGTGCAGCGGCAGAAGGAGCAACAGCAGAAGGAACAGCTAAAGTTGCAGCAGCAGCAGCAGAAAGAGCAGCAGATTCTGCAGCAGCAGCAAAAATCGAAAGAGCAGCAGAAGGAGCGTTCACAGGAACAAAAACCGCAGCAGCACCAGGAACCAAAACAGAAACAGCAGGAGCAGGAGCAGAAGCTCAAACATCGGCAGCAGGAGCATAAGCAGAAAAAGCAGAAGCAGCAGCAACAGCAGCAGCAGCAGCAGCAGCAGCAGCTGGTGCAGCCAAAAACAGAGCAGGATCCAAGCGAGGAAAAACAACAGCAGCAGCAAGAGAAGGTGGTCCATGTGAAAAAGCCACATTCACATGCAGGAACTCCAGGCTCTAGCACGAAGAGTGAAGTGCGTAAGGTGGAAGCGAAACAGCCTGTGCCATGAGAGCAATGCGAGTAGGGCTTGTGTAGATAGCAAGTGTGGGGGTGCTAATATGCATGCTCATCTGATTTCATCCAAGTTCCCGAATGCAACTTTCTCACTGCTCCAGTCTCGTCCTATTCATCATGGTCAGGTCAGCCCATTGACTGTTTAGCCACCAGTTGTGTGGCTGGGCAGTTGTGTCTGGGCTGCTGATAGTATTGTAGGCTAGTAACATCAATAATTTATTGTAGGTGTTCGTCCCGTACGCGTTGTGTGGTAGTAGTAAGTTGGAAACTTGGTGTCAGTAACATTTATCTTCTGTGATGGCCGGCGATTCAGTTATTTGTGCAGGATGTAATGAATCCAGGAAGCATTCATTTATACAGCTCTTTTTCAAAGATGCTGTACTGAATCAGTTGGAGGAAGGAACATTATCACAGAGTATCATCCATGAAAAGCAAAGTGGAAAGCCATAATACATGTAATGTACAAGAACAGGCAGTTTAATGATTCATGGCCAAATCACTATATACACAGCTAATTAGCACCCGCCCAAAACAACTGTGACAGTAACCACTAAATTCCCCTTTCTGCAGTCACAGAACTAATACCAGCATATTACTAGATGAAATGCAGCTTCTTCACCATCACTGGTGCCGCCAGCGCAACTGCCAGTTATGCCAGCAGGAGCAACTGCAGGATAGCAACCAGCATTAGTGGAGATGGCACTGGATCCGCAACAGCAGCAACAGCAGCAGGAGGAGGAGCAAGGGGGGCAGGAGGAGCAGCAGCAGCAGCATCAGTAGGGGACCATCACTGCAGGACACTAGCCATCACTGTTCAATCTGGCAACCAGATCTGCAGCAGCAGCAACAGCAGCAGGAGGAGGAGCAAGGGGGGCAGGAGCAGCAGCAGCAGCAGCATCAGTAGGGGACCATCACTGCAGGACACTAGCCATCACTGTTCAATCTGGCAACCAGATCCACAGCAGCAGCAACAGCAGCAGGAGGAGGAGCAGGTGGGGAAGCGGGAGGAGAAGCAGGAGGAGCAGGAGGGGCAGGAGGAGGAGCAAGAGGGGCAGGAAGAGGAGCCGGAGGAGGAGCAGGAGGGACAGGAGGAGGAGCAGGAGGGGCAGGAGGAGGAGCAGGAGGAGGAGCAGGAGTGGCAGGAGGAGCAGGAGGGGCAGGAGGAGGAGCAGGAGGGGCAGGAGGAGGAGCAGGAGGGGCAGGAGGAGGAGCAGGAGGGGCAGGAGGAGGAGCAGGAGGGGCAGGAGGAGGAGCAGGAGGGGCAGGAGTAGCAGCACCAGCAGAAAAAAATACTAGCACCACCACCAGCACCACCACTAGCACCCTAGTAGCAGCAGTGCTGCTGTCATCAGTAGGGTATCAGGGATGCCATGCCATGCCCTGGCCGCCTGCCTCACCTACACGTACCAGCACTGGTGACAATGCAGCCGCCAGCACTGCTAGCAGGAGCAACTGCAGCATGTCAGCCGGCACTAGCAGCATCATCGGGGCTGGCAACCAGAGCAGCAGCACCAGCAGCATCAGGACGAGGAGGATTCGCAGGAGCAGGAGCAGCAGGAGCAACAACGATAGCACTGGGAGTAGCAATGGTAGCAACATCACTGGCACCACTGGCACCAGCACTGCTGCTATTATCAGCAGCAAAGATGTCGGGAATATCCCCCCAGTCCCTGGTTGAGCGCCTCTCCCAGTACCCTCCCTTGTACGTCCAGGTGCCGCCAGGTGCCTTCTGTTGAAACCACCTGGGCTCCCAACCTGACGCCTGCACCTGCCGCGCCTGCCACAACAACAATGCAGAGGAGGTGAGTTTACTAAAATTTCACGTCGACTCACTGTTAGGATTAATTGCTAACGCACATTAAAGCTCCTCAAAAGCGCCTTATGCAGACATTGTAAAACAATATGCCAGCAGCACCTGCTAGTGTCAAACCTGATTCACAGTATTGTAACACACTTTTTCCCACTCCTCCATGTCCATTTGAGCCGCATTTTCCCCCAGCCTCTTGACCCAGTCTCCTACCTTGCGTTGCTTCCCCTCCAGCCGCCGTTTCTCCTCATTCGCCCATGCTTCGTCCCCCTCCTCCAGGGCCCTCTGGTCGGGGCGAAAGCGGGAGTCTGTGGGGGGGAGGAAGGGCTGCAAGCAAGGCAGGGAAGAAATAGTCCCAAGAGAATTATGAGGCGTCCCAAAACTGTGCATTCCACAGAGGAGGGATGAAAGCAAGAAGGGAAAGTCATGCCATGTGCGCTGTCAACACTATCCCTGAACCGTCACAGTCTTTTCCAATCATGGAATAGAATGATTGTGAGAGTTTGATCGTGCGCTTGTAAGATCCTAAACTCTCACGGTCATTCCATTCCTGAAGTCTTACAAATTTCTCTCTTCCTGGGAACTTGCAGTCTACCCTGATCTGATCCTAAACCATCCATCAGACTTAATTCCTAAACTTCAGCTCGGCCTAACACGTTTACAAAGCTCCCAATCTTTCCATTTTCTGAATCTAATCAGAACCAGCCCAGTCCCTGTGAAACCCGTTGGGCAACTCACCGCAATATCTGGCATGATCTCATTGAGTGTGACACAAAAGGGCGAGAAGTTGTACTTGTTTCCATGCTGCTGCTGCTGCTGCTGCTGCTGCTGGTGAGCCGTGGCTGAAGCAGCCTTATGCCACAGCGAATGAGGTGCTAATCGGGTCGCTGGACGATCAGTAAAGTGCTCAGGTGGTTTCTCAGGTGGTGGCCGATGTGGACGCTGACGTGAATTCTCAGGTTCATGCTCAGGTGGGTGCTCAGGTGTCATCTCAGGTGGGTTCTCAGGTGGTGCTGCTACTGGGGTCAGAGCATCCCTCTCACAGCCATGTCCACGATTTGTCTCATCCAAGCTGCTGCCACCCACATCAGGACCAGAAGACACCTCCCCCAGGTACGCCCTCCCCACAGCAGCTGACTTTTGCCGCGCCTCAGAAGCCACGTCAACCCCAGAAGGCACCTCCCCCAAGTACGCCCTCCCCGGAGCAGCTGACCTATGCGCCCCATGACCCACCCCCCCAGCCCCAATTGCATCTTGTTGCTTCATGCCCCTTTCAATTTGCCTCTTGCCCTGCTGCCTGCCTCGCTGGTTGAATTGCTGCCTGCCTCGCTGGTTGAATTGCTGCCTGCCTCGCTGGTTGAATTGCTGCCTGCCTCGCTGGTTGAATTGCTGCTTGCAATGCTCCCTGCCGTGGTGAGTGAGGGTGAACGTCAGGTGCTGGTCCCACCGGCCGTGCAGCATCGCCAGCTTCTCCCCCTGCTCGTTCAGCACGTGCCCGTGCACCTGGTGGTTGTGGGCGGCGGGTGGAGAAGGGGCCATATTAGGGAGCGCAGTGAGGGCATGTAGGTAGATCATAGCACGTGCCCTAGTGAATACAACAGCAGTGCAGCATCGCCAGTTTCTCCCCCTGCTCGTTCTGCACGTGCCCATGCACCTGGTGGTTGGCGGGTGAAAAGGGGGGGAGGTGGGCCACTGCATTGGGGAGCGTGGGTACCAAGATAACACAACAGCCGTGCAGCATCGCCAGCTTCTTCCCCTGCTCGTTCTGCACCTGATGGTTGGAGGGGGATGAGCAAGCACGAGGTGAGAGAAGGAAGGAGGGAATGCCTTGTGGGTTTTTGCGAGGAGTGATGCACTGAGAGTGCAGCGTACCGAGTACAGATTCCATCGAAGCAGGACAAGCAGAAACACACCACTCGCTTTTACTAACACACATGGATTCACTCACACACGCACACGCTCGTGCACGCATGAGCGCACGCACGAACGCACGCACGCACGCACGCACGCACACACAGCCCTTCACTCGCCTGGTGCTTGCTGCGGTCGAACAGAGACGGCTCCTTGAAATGCAGATGCACTGACAGCCCTTTACTGCCTCGGATGTGCATCGTGCCGAAATGCTCCACTTGAAGCTTCCCCACTATTATGTTGTATATGCCCGTTGTCACCTTGCTCCACTCGTACCGCTCTCCTCCATCCTCCAAAAATGAGGTATCCCCCCTTTCTCTGCTCTTTTTTCCGCCAGATTCTTCTGCCCTGCTACTCTTACCCCTCCTCCTCCCCTCTCTGTCCTCCCTCTTCCTTTGCATCAGCTTCCTCCCTTCCCTCTCGCTACAGCCGCCACTACCACCTTCCTCCTCTTCCTCCTTCCCTTCCTCCCTCTCCCCCTGCTCTCTCCACTCCCTCCCCTCCTGCTCAATCCATTCCCCTTGCCCCTGCTCAGAACCTTCCCGTTCCTCCTCCTCCTTCTCCGCTTCTCTCTCTTCCCCTTCCTCCTCCTCCCCCCCACCATCAGCAAATACCACGGAGATAACCCCACTGGGCACCAGGTGCATGGACGGCCCCCAGAACCGCACCTGCAGGGAGCGGGGTGGAGCGGGGGAGGGGAGGAGGAAGGCATAGGAAGGGGGGGAAGGGGGGTCGAGATGACACCCCACTTGTAGTGAGTCGATTTTTGAGTCGACTCAAAAATCGACTCACTACGCGCGGAAGGCATAGGAAGGGGGGGAAGGGGGGTCGAGATGACACCCCACTGGGCACCAGGTGCATGGACGGCCCCCGGAACCGCACCTTCAGTGAGGGGGAAGGGTAAGAGGGAAGGAGAGGGGGGAAGGTTAAGGGGTGGATGTAACAGGTGAAGGGGTGGATATAACAGGTGAAGGGGTGGATGTAACAGGTGAAGGGGCGGATGTAACAGTTGAAGGGGTGGATGTAACAGGTGAAGGGGTGGATATAACAGGTGAAGGGGTGGATGTAACAGGTGAAGGGATGGATGTAACAGGTGAAGGGGTGGATGTAACAGGTGAAGGGGTGGATGTAACAGGTGAAGGGGTGGATGTAACAGGTGAAGGGGTGGATGTAACAGGTGAAGGGGTGGATATAACAGGTGAAGGGGTGGATGTAACAGGTGAAGGGGTGGATATAACAGGTGAAGGGGTGGATGTAACAGGTGAAGGGGTGGATATAACAGTTGAAGGGGTGGATGTAACAGGTGAAGGGGTGGATGTAACAGGTGAAGGGGTGGATGTAACAGGTGAAGGGGTGGATGTAACAGGTGAAGGGGTGGATGTAACAGGTGAAGGGGTGGATGTAACAGGTGAAGGGGTGGATATAACAGGTGAAGGGGTGGATATAACAGCACGGAGATCACACCGCACGGTACCAGGTGTATGGATACGTATAAAGTTTCGACCTGGATCCAGCAGGTGACTCGTCCTACTCCAACAGGTAACTTGTCCTAATGGCAGAGGACAGGTGAAGGGGTGGATATAACAGCACGGAGATCACACCGCACGGCACCAGGTGCATGGACAGCCCCCAGAAGCGCACCTGCAGGGAGGAAGGAGGAACGGGAGAGGGGAGGAGGAAGAGGGGGTGGCGAGGGAACCAGGTGCATGGACGGTTCCCAGAACCTAAAGCAGTGCGAAGCGAGGGCAGCAGGTGCACGGAGAGCCCCAGAATTTTGAGAACAGGTGAGAGGAGAAGACTTTTGAGAATTCTCAAAAGTCACTCCCAGAACTGAACGTTGAGCAAAGAACAGGTGAGAGGAGAAGACTTTTGAGAATTCTCAAAAGTCACTCCCAGAACTGAACGTTGAGCAAGGAACAGGTGAGAGGAGAAGACTTTTGAGAATTCTCAAAAGTCACTCCCAGAACTGAACGTTGAGCAAAGAACAGGTGAGAGGAGAAGACTTTTGAGAATTCTCAAAAGTCACTCCCAGAACTGAACGTTGAGCAAAGAACAGGTGAGAGGAGAAGACTTTTGAGAATTCTCAAAAGTCACTCCCAGAACTGAACGTTGAGCAAAGAACAGGTGAGAGGAGAAGACTTTTGAGAATTCTCAAAAGTCACTCCCAGAACTGAACGTTGAGCAAAGAACAGGTGAGAGGAGAAGACTTTTGAGAATTCTCAGAAGTCACTCCCAGAACTGAACGTTGAGCAAGGAACAGGTGAGAGGAGAAGACTTTTGAGAATTCTCAAAAGTCACTCCCAGAACTGAACGTTGAGCAAAGAACAGGTGAGAGGAGAAGACTTTTGAGAATTCTCAAAAGTCACTCCCAGAACTGAACGTTGAGCAAAGAACAGGTGAGAGGAGAAGAAGGAAGGTGAGAGGAGAAGAAGGAAGGTGAGAGGAGAAGAAGGAAGGTGAGAGGATAAGAGGGCAGGTGGGGGAGTGGAGGGAAGGGAGAGGAGAGGGCAGCAGGTGCACGGAGGCCCCCACGGAGGAGAGGGCAGCAGGTGCAGGTGCAAGGAGGGCCCTCAGAACTGAACGTTGGGCAAAGTACACGTGAGAGGAGAAGAGAGCGGGAAGATGAGAACAGGGAGGGAAGAGGTGTAGAGGGAAGGGGGAGAAGAGAACACCAGGGGTGCAAGGAGGGCCCTCAGAATCGCACCTTGAGGGTCGAGTCTCCAAACAGCTGCCACCCGTTGCCCCAGCAGTGCGCTGCCACCGTTGGGGGGTGGTTCAGAACCTGGTAGAGGGAGCAGGGAAGATCGGAGAAGGAGGGCAAGTGAGGGATTTGAAGCCTTGACGCCTTGAAGGTAACCTACCCACCTTGTATGTGCGCGCTCACACGCCCTTCTCCCCCCAGCAGCGGTTTGAAGGACATGTGAAGGTGGGGAGAAGGACAAGTGAGGGTGGGGAGAAGGGCAAGTGAGGGTGGGCTCACCACCAGTGCTGGACAGCACGAGCAGCACTCGTGGCGTGGCAGGCAGCACAGGAGCAGGGTGGCACACACACCTGTCTGCCTGCTACCATTAGCAGGCAGAACGGCAGCTGGGAATTGGAGGTGAGTACTCACCTTCTGGCACAAGTGGCTCACCTTCTGGCACAAGTGGCTCACCTTCTGGCACAAGTGGCTCACCTTCTGGCACAAGTGGCTCACCTTCTGGCACAAGTGGCTCACCTTCTGGCACAAGTGGCTCACCTTCTGGCACAAGTGGCTCACCTTCTGGCACAAGTGGCTCACCTTCTGGCACAAGTGGCTCACCTTCTGGCACAAGTGACTCACCTTCTGGCACAAGTGGCTCACCTTCTGGCACAAGTGGCTCACCTTCTGGCACAAGTGGCTCACCTTCTGGCACAAGTGGCTCACCTTCTGGCACAAGTGGCTCACCTTCTGGCACAAGTGGCTCACCTTCTGGCACAAGTGGCTCACCTTCTGGCACAAGTGGCTCACCTTCTGGCACAAGTGGCTCACCTTCTGGCACAAGTGGCTCACCTTCTGGCACAAGTGGCTCACCTTCTGGCACAAGTGGCTCACCTTCTGGCACAAGTGGCTCACCTTCTGGCACAAGTGGCTCACCTTCTGGCACAAGTGGCTCACCTTCTGGCACAAGTGACTCACCTTCTCTGCCAGCAGCTTAAAGCCCTTGTCAGGGTAGTTCGCCTCGTAAGTCTCCCCCAGCAGCGGGTTAAAGGGCTTGTGCATGCGCGCACTGGTGTTGGCATAGCCTGACATGGCAAAGGCTGCCACGTGGAGGGCTCTCATTAGCTGATCGCCCTGGAGAAGAAGCAGAGGGGAGCAGAAGGTGGGGCCAGGAATAAAAGGGAAACTCGTCTACAAGACACTATGATTTCTTCTGACAGTACCGGGAAAATATAAAATAGGGGAAGAAGGTGGGGGCTAGAGTGGGATGGGGATATGCTCACCATGAACCTTTCCCTTTCTGCTTCTCCTCCTTTTCCTTTTCCATTTCCCTTGTCCCTCTTAGCTCCATCTCATCCATCCATCTACAGCTCTCCCACCCCGCCTTCCTGCCGCCACACACTGCACTACACGGCTGCCCACTCTCTCACATACCCTGCCCTGCCACCCTTTCTCCCACCGACTCACCTTCCGGCCGTACTCTGCCGCCCACACCCTCACCCGCCGCCCACCGACTCACCCGCCGCCCGTACTCTGCCGCCCGGTCGAGCAGCCAGCTGTACTCCATCTCCTCGGCGCACTTGTGCAGCAACCCGATTGGCTCGTTCAGCTGCACCGGCAGGCACACTCGGGACAAATCCCGCCCCACGCACTCGCGCAGCGTCGCCCACAGCCCCCCGGCCAGGCTGCCCGGGCGGTTTTGCTTGTCTGGTAGTGGGAGGCGCGTGCGACGTGGGACGAAAGGGTAGGAGAAGCCGACCTGGAGGTGGGAAGGAGAGGGTGCGAAGAATGGGGCTCAAGTGAAGGTGCGGCGCGGGGAAGGGGAAAGCAAAGAGGTAGAGGGATTTCACATTCTCAACACGGAGTGCCCGGACTGGTTCTGACTGGTTCAGACTGACTTATGATGTTTCGAGGCTCTCAAAAGTAAGCCACCTCGTTACAGAGAACCTGGACTGGTTCAGACTTTTGAAGTTTCTCGAGAGGGGATTTTGCATTCTCAACACAACGGGATCTGCATGCACCACTGAATTTCTCAAATCCAACTTAGCTTAACACGAGTTTGATTTCCCCTACCGCATCCATTGACAACTCATCCTCTGCAGCCCTTCTTCCTCCCACCATCTCCCTGTGCTGCTCCGCTTCTCTCTCCCCCTCCCCCTCCGATACCCCCCCTCCCCCATCTCCCCCTGTTCCCCCACCTCCTCCCCCCACTCCCCCACCTCCTCCCCCGGCTCCCCCGCCTCCGCCCCTTCCCCCCTCAAACTCCCCCCCCCCCTGCTCCTCATCCCCTTCATATCCGCCTTCATGTGCGCCCTCCCCCTCCCCCTCCCCCTCCCCCTCCCCCTCCCCCGCCTCAACCACCACGTCATCTCGCCCCTCTACCATCCATGCCAGCTTCTCTGGTGCCTCAAAGAACCTCTCCTCCTCGTCCTCCTCCTCTTCATCCTCCTCGTCCTCCTCCCATTCCTCTGCTTCTTCCTCCTCCTTTCCCTCCTCTTCTCCTCCCCCCACCTTCCCCCATTCTCCGCCCTCACCTCCCCCCTCAGCCCCTCTCCTCCGCCCCCTCCTCCTCTGCATGTGGATCAGCTCTGATTCCAATAGAGCTTTCTCTATCTGCCATGCCATGCCATGCCATGCCATGCCATGCAATGCCATGTAGCACATACCCACATGCCCCCCGCACGCATGTTTTAATCACACAAATTTGGAAGAAGCGAATCAAACGTTAGCTTTCATATCACGACAACACACGAAACTCCCCTCCCCAGTACCCGTATACCTCTAGCTGCTGCTGGATGCTCGTCATCATAAGCTTACTACAGTCAAACTCCACTCCACTCCACTCCACTCCACTCCACTCCACATACATGCATACACATGGACGGACCGGACCATACCTCCAGCTGCTTCATCCTCGTTATAAGCTGCTCCTTTGCACGCCGCTCCCCCAACAACACCCGCGCCACCACCTGCCGCCGAACCACCTCCTCGCATTTCATGATGACGTCATCGCTGACGTCAGCAGCCCTCAGGAAATCGACCATAGGATGGAGGGAAATGCGTGACGGAGTCAGCGGCTCTGTGTCCACATCAGCAGCATCAGCTATGTCCACGTCACCATGACCGCTGCTGATGTCATCGCCATCGTTACCACCAGTTGCAGCAGGTGTGGCAGCAGATGCAAGGGCAGGAGGCGGCATAGGAGAAAGAGAGGCAATCCCGAGGGAGGAGAGAGCAGGAGAGATTGGCTCAGCAGCAGCAGCAGAAGCTGTGGCGGCGGTATCAGCAGCAGCAGCAGTAGCCAATCCAGCAGGCACAGGGAAAGAAAGCCTTGCAGCCTGCATTGTGGAGCGACAGGAGGGAGGGGACCCACATTCTAAGAGTCATGAAGATAGCTAGTCAGTCTAAAGAGCATGCATCATCATTGCACATACAAACAAAAAAGCTTCTTTGAACATGATGATCATCATCTCCTAGACTTCCTGACAGTTGAACATCCTTTGAAGAACAACATTTCACATCCAGTGCAAAACCAGGAAGAGGGTTTGGCTGGTAGGTGCATGGGTGAATCCATGGGGTTCAAAACAAACCCAACCTTAAAAACTTGCAGCCAAACAGGGCAGTGAGGCAGGTTGGTTGGTGCACGTGTGATTCTGTGTGTGTGCGTGTGTGCATGTGTGCATGTTTTGAAGTTCACACCTCGATAGCTTGCAGCCAGAGGGAGCGGTCTTCTGCTGACTCAGCACACAGGATGAGCGTGCGTGCTGACGTGGCAAGATAGAACTTGGTGGGGTCGCTGCGGCTGGGACGCAGAGAGGAGATCTGGAGGAGAGTTTGAGGTGAGGAGGGGAGTGTACGGAGTTTGGAATGGGATTGGGTGGAAGAGGTCCGTGAGGGAGGAGGAAATGTGAGGGAGGAAATGTGAGGGAGGAAATGTGAGGGAGGAAATGTGAGGGAGGAGGAAATGTGAGGGAGGAAATGTGAGGGAGGAGGAAATGTGAGGGAGGAGGAAATGTGAGGGAGGAGGAAATGTGAGGGAAACGAATCCAGTTTTGAGTCACCTCAAAATTTGAGAAATGGATGCAACAAGCCCAACGCCTTTTGAGGCGCCTTTTGAGGTACCTAAAAAATCCTCAGCAACTCACCGCATCAAGCTCAATTACTCCTCGAGGCTCCTCCGTCTCAACCACAAACCCAACGCCCCTCGCCCCACTGTCACCCCACCCCCTGCCCCCTCCTTCCCTCATCCCCCTCTTCTGACCAACCGCACCCTCTTCTCCCTCCCCTCCCTCCTCTCCCACCTCGCCCTCCTCGCCCTCCATCCTCCCCCCTCCATAACCACAGCTCTCCAGGGGGCTGCGCCTAGGGGATGCCGCCAGGAGCTTCGAAACCGCGCCACTTAAAGCCCGGGGAGTGAGCGGGGGCGTTCTGAATATGCTGGGAGTTCTCGGCTTTAACCGGCTGCTGTGGTGGTGCCGCTGGTGGGGGCTATGCTGACGCTGATGCGCATGCTGACGGTGGTGGTGGTGGTGGTGGTGGCGGTGGCGGTGGTGGTGGCCGTCGTAGTGGTGGGGGGTAGGATTCCCTCCACTCCCACTGCAACGCTCACCAGCAGATCGAACGGGTGAAAGGGGTCCTCTCTCGTGGATGGTAACCCTATCGTCCCTCACACCATACCCCACTGCTGCTCCTAGCCTCTCTTCTGTTGGACGTAGCACTGCTTCCTTCACTTGCTCTTTTCGCCTCTTCATCTCCTCATCTACCTCCTCCTGCCCTCCCTTTGGACTTTTCTCCACCTCCTCCTCTTCCCCATCTCCTTTCCCACCTTCCTCATCATCCTCATCGTTCTCATCCTCCTCTTCCTCCTCATCTCCTGACATCAGTGGCGTTTCTCTCTCCTCCATCCCTTGGCATCTCGAACTCACTACCTTATCCCCACCCTCTCCCTCATCCGCATCCTCCTCATCCTCCTCCTCATCCCCACCCTCACCCCCACCCTCCTCCTCATCCCCACCTTCTCCAACCCCCTTTCCCTCCTCCTCATCCCCCTGGCGCAACATCCCTTCGTTATAGTCACCAATCAGGTCCGAAACGGCCCTCCCTATAAGAGCCACACAATTGTACCGCTGCTGGAGCTTCCGGATCATCGCAGCCGTGGAGCTGCCACGGAGCTTGAAGTAGAGGAGGTGGTGCTGTGGAGTGGGGTGGGGTGGGGTGGGGACGGAAACAGAACGAAACAATGCAAACTGTCCTTGCAAAACAAAATGACTTCACTCGAGAGCTTCTGAATCATTGCAGCTGTAGTTCTGCCTCGGAGCACCTGTAAAGGAGGGTGGTGCTGGTGGGTGGAGTGCAAAGGAAGAGAAAACGAAACCAGGTGAATTGTCCTTGCTTGCAAGCTGACTTGAGTTGAAGGCTTCTGGATCAATGCAGTTGTGGAGCTGACTCGGAGCTTCAATTAAAGCGAAAGGTGGTGCTGGTGGTGTGGGTGGAGTGGAGAGGAGAACAAGAAACGAAGAACATAAGGAAGGAGGGAGCGAAAGGAAGGATTCGAACGATGTGTGCAAAAGAAAACTTGAAAAACCGACATTCTTCCTTTGCCCTTACCTGTCTGAGAAGGAAGAGCCTCGGCGCCCACCCTGCACCCACTTTGACAGCACGCCCTCAACAACCATCACCTGACCGAACGGCTGTGAAAATCTGTAAACCCGGACATTCTTCCTTGCCCCTCACCTGTCTGAGGAGGACGAGCCTTGGAGCCCACCCCCGGCCGATGTGCACCCACCCACTTGGACAGCACGCCCACCGTCACCCCACCTAACGTCTTTGAAAAGCATCAAGATGCGAGATTCAGAAGGCGAGATTCAGAAGGCGAGATTCAGAAGGCGAGATTCAGAAGGCGAGATTCAGAAGGCGAGATTCAGAAGGCGAGATTCAGAAGGCGAGATTCAGAAGGCGAGATTCAGAAGGCGCGATTCAGAAGGCGCGATTCAGAAGGCGAGATTCAGAAGGCGAGATTCAGAAGGCGAGATTCAGAAGGCGAGATTCAGAAGGCGAGAATCCTCCCTTGTCGCTCACCTGTCTGAGAAGGAAGAGCCGTGGCGCCCACCCCCGGCCGATGTGCACCCACTTGGACAGCACGCCCACCGTCACCCTGCTGCCATCCAGCATCGTTCCACATGATTCCTGACGCTCCTCACTCGGCGCCATTGCGTCCATCCCTTTGGATCTCGGATCGTGACACGGGGGTTTTAAGCCCGCATGAGTCAAGTTTCCCGCTTGTAGGAGTATCAATCACAAGATTCCTGCCCGTGAGTGAAGGCGTGGGGTGATCCGATACGTACTGTCTCTCCTTGTTCAAATGATGGATGGATTCATGAATGGGAACTGTCTGCAGCACACTTCTCTCACGTCAGCGTGCAACGCGCCCTCTGCTTCGCTGACCGTCGAGATCAGGCACTCCTTTTTATCATTCTTGATCGCAGATGGTTCAGTTCAGGCAACAATCTCGGCATCGCGTCTCTCTGCTTCAGGGCCTGTGACCGTCCAATCCGCCACCTTCTGCCGTTCTCTCCCTCGCCGTTCGGTGATCTCGCCAGCCGGACCGAACACGTTGCGTCGGATAGAGGCGCGCAAGTGGGGCCGTCGCGGGGAGAGCGCAGGAGGCGGAGAGGGAGGGGCGGGGGAGCATGTAGGGGAGGATGTGGGGAAGCAGGTCGGACGAGCGCAGGATGCGACGACGGTTGGGGTGAGCGGCGCAGCAGGTTTGCCCCGAATCGGAGGGACGGGCGCGAAAAAAGGGGCTCGAGTGATCGTCGGGAGAGCGCCCGAGGTGGTGCGGCCGGGGGAGCATGAGGGGGAGTAGTGGGGGAGCAGGTTGCACGAGCGCATGGTGATGGGTGCGGAGGAAGGCACTGGCACGCAAGGGTGTAGTGGGGCGCCGCACTTGCACTTGGCGCACTGGGGCGCACTTGGCGCACTGGGACGAGGGGAATCCAAGCGCGAGGTGGGACCCAAACCGCCGTACTGACTGTGCGCAACGGCGGAAATCTGACGCGCAGGCCCGCTTGGGGCGGAGAAGAAGGGGAGGCGCACAGGCATGGCGGAGCTGAATGAGCGCAGCGCAATGCTCCTCCGAGGAAACACTATTGGCGCACGGGGGAAATGTGGAGCGGGAAGGGGTGAGTTTGCAGCTCGGATGCGGTGCGGTACTTGTAAAGGGGGGAGTGAGCCCCCTGGGAGCGGTACTTGCGGCATGATGACACGAGAGAGAGGAAGGACGAATCCAGTCTGGCCTCTGCGTCCGCGTGGCGTGGAGATCTCATGAAAAGCGCCGAAGCGCCAGCAGAATCAAGCTGTCTGACTGGAAGCTGAGCTGGCTGAATGCGAGCGCAACGCAAGCTGTCTGACAGGAAAGGAAGAGCCTTGCTTGACGACATGCGCAGTATTCGACGACTACGTGGAACATGTTCGTGCAGTACGAAATGCGTGCGGCTGGAGTGACATACGCGGTATAGGAAAACTTGTTGCAGCGACATTCGAGCTTGGATGGCCTGCGTAACGACCGAAACTCCACCACTTATGTTACTGTTTTCATGTTTTGGGCTTTTTGTTGAATACCAGGTACTACATTAAAATCATCAACTACATATATTCCCCAGCAGGATACATCACAGTTCGCTGCACTTGCTACACAACTCATTGTACGACATAAGGTTGTACACTACATGTTTTCTACACCTACTTCATGCCCTGCTACAACTGCAGCTGCGATGTGTTGAATAGTGAGAGGGGAGTGCCGAGCCGCATACTGAAACAGGATCTGCAATCACAGGAGGAGGGATGGAAATGTGCAGGAAGAGAAAGAGAAAACTGGGGGAGGGGGAATTTTAAAAAGGGAGGAGGGGAGATGGAAGGGGAGAGAGGGGGATAGAGCCCAAGAGGAGAGACACAATGAAGAGGGAGGAGAGTGGGAGGAGGACGAGGAAGAGAATGGTAGTGAGGAGAAGGAGAAGGGGGAAGCAGTCAGACACAGCCCCCAATAAAACAAGCCTGCAGCAGAAGAAAGAGAGACACCATCACATGACGATCATCACCCCACGGTCCTACCAACAAGCACAATCCCACCTCCCATCCCATATCCCTTACTCCTACCCCATTACACATGGCACGGCCAGCACCCTCATTCCCACCTTGGAGCAGCTATCGGCGCCGCCTCGCCTCTGATTGGCTGCGCCCTGCAGCAGCACGTCTGCCCCCACCACCCGCACCAAGCACGCATCCCACATCTTGTGATCCTAACCCACCTCCCATGTCCCATAGCCCGTCTGCCCCCACCACCCGCACCAAGCACGCATCCCACATCTTGTGATCCTAACCCACCTCCCATGTCCCATAGCCCGTCCGCCCCCACCACCCGCACCAAGCACGCATCCCACATCTTGTGATCCTAACCCACCTCCCATGTCCCATAGCCCGTCCGCCCCCACCACCCGCACCAAGCACGCATCCCACATCTTGTGATCCTAACCCACCTCCCATGTCCCATAGCCCGTCCGCCCCCACCACCCGCACCAAGCACGCATCCCACATCTTGTGATCCTAACCCACCTCCCATGTCCCATAGCCCGTCCGCCCCCACCACCCGCACCAAGCACGCATCCCACATCTTGTGATCCTAACCCACCTCCCATGTCCCATAGCCCACAACTCGTCAACCCACACCCCGAAAGCCTACACCCTAAACCCCAAGCCCACCTTGGAGCAGCTATCAGCGCCACCTCGCCTCTGGTTGGCTGCGCCCTGAAACAGCAGGTCCGCCCCCACCACCCACCACCTAACACCCATTCCACATGTCCTGAACCTACACCCACCTTGGAGCAACTGTCAGCGCCACCTCTCCTCTGATTCGCTGCGCCCTGAAACAGCAGGTCTGCCCCCACCACTCGGCCCTGCTCCAGGTGCAACCCGCCCGGACCTACGGCAAATCGCAGAAGCTTGCTGGGACGCAGGTGCAGGGAGGGCTGGGATGGGGAAGGACAAAAACAGAGAGGAGCACGGAGGGTAAGCAAATAGCAGGTCTGCCCCCACCACTCGGCCCTGCCCCAGGTACAACCCACCCGGGTCTATGGCGAAGCGTAGCAGCTTGTTGGGGCGCAGGTGCAGGGAGGGCTGGGGACGGGGAAGGGGAAGGAGAGGAGCAAGGAGGGGAAAGAGGCATTAATGAGAGCACAGCACACGTCTGGCAGTAGGTCCGCCCCCTACCACTCGGCCCTGCTCCACATGCTACCCGCTTGGGCCCACAAGGCAGCAGCTTGTTGGGGCGCAAGTGAACGGAGGGCTGGCATGGGGAGAGATGATTTTTGAGGCGCCTCAAAAATCGGCTGGGATGGGGAGAGATGAGGGAACAGGGAGGAACACAAAGGAGCACGCACGGACATGGGGGGGGGAGTGAGTGTAGTTGGGAGGTAGGTAGGTGCATGGGGAGTGCTACGTACGTCACGTTACATGGGGGTGAGCTTAATACCGTGGGGTTGAGCATATGAGCATGTGGGGACACTAGTGAACACAAAAGTCATGGGCATCACAGCAATACGCACGTCACATGTCATTGGCTCGCTGTTTCTATTCGACAATCTGCGTGAGTGTGTGCGGCGCGGCGGGACGTACTTCATTGGAAGATTAAGGGCGCAGGGAGCCAAATACTAGTACAGACTTGACTGATAGGACTTAGCCAAAGAGCTAGGTCTACTACTACTCTAAGGCACGTACATCATTGAGAGTGTGCGGGGGCAGGGAGCCAAATACCACTGGAGGGTCGTCGCTTGTCACCAGAGAGCCGTCTGCTGCGAGCAGGAGAACCACCTGATATGGATGCAGAGGGGTGCAGAGGAGTGCAGAGGTAGAGGAGTGAAGCGGAGTGCAGACGGATGCAGAGGGGTGCAGGGAGAGATGGCGGAGGAGAATATAAAACACGGAACGAGGCTTGTGAGGGGGTGCCCCTGTTTTGCGGCGCCTCAAAAAGAGGCGCCTCAAAAATTGTTTTGCGGCGCCTCAAAAGAGAATATAAAACACGGAACGAGGCTTGTGAGGGGGTGCCCCTGTTTTGCATACGCAAGGGAGAAACAGAGGAATGGTAAGGGAAGCAGCAAGGCGGCGCACGGAAAGCATGACAACGTGAAAAGCTGTTGCCACCTCTCTCACTTAGCCTTTCCTGCCGAGATGCGGTTTCTGAGACGTCGCGCAACCTGAAACGACTTTTGAGTCTTGCAATATTGAAGCTGTTACCACATGACCTGCCTTGCATCGCCTCACCTGCTGCTGCTCCGGAATCTTCCCCGCCCCATCAGTGTCTATGACAAACCGACTGCACGCTGCATCCTTCCACTGCAGCACCAGGGGTGAGAGGCCCAACGTGTAGTGCGAATGCCTGAGAGGGAGATAGAAAGGAGGGTTTTGTGTAAGGAGGGAGGGAAATGTGAATGGAGGGGCGAAGAGGGGAGCGAACCGACTGCACGCCACGTCCTTCCACTGCAACACCAAAGGCGGGAGGCCCAACGTGTAGTGGGAGTGGCTGGGAGGGTTGGGGAAATGGGGGAGTTGGGGAGTTGTGGAGCGGGGGAGGGATGAGTGGTGGGGCGAAGAGGGGAACGAACAGAATTCACGCTGCATCCTTCCACTGCAGCACCAGGGAGGAGAGGCTGACGATACTGAAATCACTTTTGAGAATTCTCAAAAGTGATTTCAATATAGCCACTGCAGCACCAGGAAGGAGAGGCCGACGTGTAGTGCGAGTGGCTGGGAGGTGGGAGAGAGAGGGGAGTTGGGGATGGAACAGCGGCCCATCTCATTCAAGTCTTAGAGCACAACAGCGAGGGGAAACATGTGGATCGGCAAAAGGAGCAAGAGGAGGGCAAAAAAAAAAAGAAAAAGAAAAAAAAACAGACAGTTGGTCCATTTCACCAACGTTCCTCACCCGTTGTGGAAGAGCAGCCCATCGCGAGTGAACTCCACTCGTGCAGTCGTTGGCACTGGGGCGCCGTTCACCATTCCATCGGTGTAATCACTTTCAGAACAGCAGCTAGCCTAGTAACAGAAATTCCTCACCGGTTGTAGAAGAGCAGCCCATCGCGAGTGAACTCCACTAGTGCAGTCGTTGGCACCGAGGCACCACCATTGGCACTGCCACCAGCCACTGTCGCTGCTAACCCCCCTCCTGCTGCTGCTCCCCCTACCCCTGCTCCCTCAACTCCCCCCATCTCCCCCCTTGCTCCCCCTGCTCCCCCTGCCTCCCCTGCCTCCCCTGCCCCTGCTGTCCCTCCTGCCCCCACTGCCCCTCCCCCAACCTCTCTCCACCCACAGTAAGCAGCCTCGAGCCCTTGGCAGTGGCACTCAAAAAACGGCACGGGAGCGAAGCGGAAACGGTGGAAGTGGGAGGGCGGGTCGCAGGCACCGCACTGCGGCAGGTGCGTTTGCAGCCAGAAGAGACGAAACTCGGCCGTGCAGTCGTAGAGAGAATAGCCGCGCCATGCCATCACGTCCAGCACGTAGTATGTGTTATTGGGCTGCCGTGTGGTTGGGTTGGGACAAGGACAGGGGAAGAGATGCAGGGGGTGAGTTAGGCGCCGCACTGCGGCAGGTGCGTGTGCAGCCAGAAGAGGCGAAACTCAGCCGTGCAGTCGTATAAAGAATAGCCGCGCCATGCCATCACGTCCAGCACGTAGTATGTGTTATTGGGCTGCATGGGAGAGGGGGGGGAGGGGAAGCACGAATTCAGCTGGCGCCGCACTGCAACAGGTGTGTGTGCAGCCAGAAGAGACGAAACTCTGCCGTGCAGTCGTAGAGAGAATAGCCAAGCCATGCCATCACGTCAGGCATAGTAAGTGTTATTGGGCTGCCAGGCATAGAGGAGCAGGGGGAGATAGGGAGGGGGAACAGGGAGTTTGTTTGGCTTCATTTGGCGCCGCACTGCGGCAGGTGTGTGTGCAGGCACAAGAGACAGAACCCAGCAGTGCAGTCATATCAAGAATAACCGCGCCATGCCTTCACGTGACGTCTAACACGCAGTATGTGCTGCTGGGCCGGCAAGCATGGAGGAGTGCGGGGCGGGGAAGAGGGGGGGGGGGAACCGGGAAATTGGATGAGACCTCATTGGACTGCATGTTGGCCTTATTGGGCGTGCACAAGGGGAAGTGGTCGGTGAAGGATTTGACCCTTCAAACCCGAAACCCTGAAACCCTAGACTCACCTCATGGAAGATACAGTCAAGGATGCAGTACACGTGAGCGCCAGCAGCGATACCAGGAGCCCTGGCCCCGTTGGGCAGACGAGAGGGGAAGCGGTGGAAGATTCAACCTTCAGCCTGCCTGCCTGATACTCTAAGCCTTGAATTTGCCTAAAACGCTGAGATCTCATCTCACCTCATGGAAGATACATTCAAGGATGCAGTACACATGGCCACTCGCTGCGATACCGGGAGCCCTGGCCCCGTTGGGCAGACGCTAGGGCAAGCGGTGGAGGATTGCGCCCTAGACCCCAAGCTCTAATCCTTGAACTGCCCACTCTCCTGAACTCTCACCTCATGAAAAATACAGTCCAGGATGCAGTAGACGTGCGCGCCAGCAGCGATACCAGGCGCCCTGGCACCGTTGGGCAGGTGAGAGGGGAAGCGGTGGAGGATTCGATCGTTGCGCAGGCGGCTAACGGTGGTGCCATTTGCAGATACCACCAAACAACGCCGCCCGTCCGGCCGCGGCATCACGAACCTGGGAATATGGCATGGTGCAAAAGGAATGTGAGAATTGACGCGGAAAACGGACAATGGATGCTAGACCTGGGAGGGGAGAATTCAGTTAAGTTTTTGAGGGAATGTGAGAACTGACAAGGGAAACGGACAATGGACGCTAGACCTCAAACAATTCTAGTTTCCGCAAACAGGAAGGTTCGTGTTTTTGAGTAAAAGGGTGCCGGATAAACAAGTGACCAAGAGTGGTGAGAGAGAGGGAAACAGAACTGACCAATCAGAGGCAAGTCGAGGTGGGACGTCGACCATCCACTCGGGCAGCATAAGCTGCTGCGCATACCACTCCCTTGCACCGTCTGTCACCCCTTTATCCGCACCATCTACATTATCATCAACCCCTCCTCTCCCCCCTCGACCTCCTCTCCCTCCTCCCCTTCCTCCTGCTCCTCCTTTCCCTCTTCTCCCCCTAGCCTCACCACGCGGCACAAACAACCCCCTCATCTCCTGTTCAATCCCCACAACGCCCCCACCATCCTCCTCCCCCTCCCCCTCCCCATCCCCATCCCCATCCCCATCCATCTCCATACCCTCCCCACCCGCTTCACGCACCATCCCAAACACCCCCTCCCCGTTACCCACTCCTCCCAACACACCCCCCTCCTCAGTGCCTTCCCCTTCGGCAGCATCGATTCTCGCTCCAGTAGCAAAGGGTTCTCTGGTAGATCCAGACGCGTCAGATCCTAGGTCGACTGGCTCGATCCGTCTCCCTGAGCCGTCGATTCTGAACCCCTCTTGGTCGATCCTCGTCCATTGGCCCGAAGCCTCGTCGAACTCGCATATCTCTGGAAGCAGCGGCGAAACTTCTCTCGACTCTGGCGCTGCGGCGGCAGACTCGCGCGCCTCGACCTCGTCAGCGAGAGTCACGGCGCCAGTTGCGGCGAGAGCCACGTGGCGCGCGTGCAGTTGCAGGTCCCGCCGCGCGGCGCGCTGCCGCTCCAGAGCGAGCTCGCGCCGGCGTTGCTGGTCGGTCGCGCCGTGCCGGCCGGTGGGCTTGTGCGGGCGGACGGGGGACGGCGCGGCGGGATCCGCGGGCGCGGAAGCGGAGAAAATGGGGGGATTGGCGGATGAAAAAGGTGCGGAGGCGGAAAAAGGGGACGATGCAGGGAAGGCTGCGGAAGGCGGAGACGGATTGACTGCCATGGCGATAAATTCCCAAAATTCGGAGTGCTGAGAGCTTGCTGATCGGCGTTCGCCCGAGCTCGTCCACGTGCGGTTCTAAAGCATGTGATTCTAGCGAGAACACCTGTGTCTTATTGCGTTACGGGGGGGAATGATGTGCGGCGATGGCTGCACGTGGCATCTTCAGCAACATTTAGGTTGTCACTCGGGAATTGAGTCAGAGTGAAGCGACTGAATGGCGTGTGGTGACAGCAAATCGCGTCACGGCAAAATCTAGGTGGATCGGTCTACACAAGTGGGGACAGGCAAACGATCAGACAGCAAATCGTTCAAAGGCGTATATCAAACAAGCCGGCTGATCCAAGTCAATCGGCTTCAGCTAACGAGATTAATGAACTAAGTAGAGCGGCAGGATGAGTCGCTAGCATGACAGCTCGCTATCGTTTGGAGTTGAAATGGAGGGAGGACTCTGGACTTCGAGGGAGGAGGGAGGAACTTCGAGCTTCTCGAATCTGGTCTGGACTCTCGAGTGTTCTGCAGCAGATGTGTGTGACCGTGTCAGTATTTTTCCAATGACTCGGGAAATGCTGATAGGGGTGCCGACACCCATTTACCGAAAGTTCGGGTGCGAAACTACAGTCAGGGTGCTGAGCTCTGGTTTTAGATAAACGTTAAGTGCTCAAGGTGATCTTGAACACTGAACACGGAGGCTAACGAATAGTTTAATGGAACTCATTGGATACCAGAACCTATTTCGCGGATCCTCATGATATCTCAACGGACAAGCGAGTCCGTCGACCGACCGTCGACCTCGTTTCGTTGAGACATTCCCCAAGGTTATGCTAAGCATGACTAAATGCGAGGCTTGAAAGCTAAATTGATATATGTAGAAGGTTTGACACGAGACAGAAATGCGCCCTCAGCAATTTGAGCATACCAGACGGAAATCCGTTAGGGCGGGTCCAACAATGCATGTATTCGCAAAAAACCCTACCCAACCATCTGTTGTTTTAAATAGACCGCTCTATATTAAGCCTAAAACCTTTTCAACCGCATTTGGACCCGCCCTTAGTCCCCTTCACAGATGGTTTTATGACGCGGGATACCCAAGGTATGGTAGCCTTTCTCCCGTGATCACGATGGTCCTCGTTTCACTCGCCAGGAATAAAGTATATCCAGGCATGTTAGAAGCGTAAGGTAGGTTCCTCATAGCCGTAATTAATACGCAAACGGCTGGTAACCACGATGGTCCTCATTTCACTCGTAAGATAGGTTCTTCGTAGCCCTCGGGTGCGGCTGAGCGCGCTAATTTCAGGCAACGGAAACTGCTGCTTCGTCCTCTTCACACAACCCTATTTCCTTCCTCGGGAACTACGGGATTTTGAAATTATCCTCGTTACAGAAGCGTCACCTCCGTTTCTGTCATGACTCGCACGTTCATCCGCACCTTTCAGCCGTGTGTTGCTGTCTCCTCATGCGATCACCCGCGCAATAAATTAGTAGTCTATCGTTACTAAGGACGTGTTTAGCGATGAGGTGCTCCTTCCGCGCTCTGCTCAAGGTTTGAGACATTGGCTGACTCGCGGATTAACCCGTAGACTATTACTGAGGAAGAACCGTATTTGGACGTTGTACGGACATCCCCCAGCGGCTTTTAGCTGTCTCCGCGCTCTCTCCTGTGGTTTTAAGACGGATCTCATGTCTCAAAAATTGTTCCGTAGATCGTTACTAGGGAAGGCAGTCCCTCAGCCACTTGCTGCTTTCACCCCATCTCTCTCTCCGAGGAGCAGTTCCCCTCCTCTAGTTTTGAGACGTAGATTAATATGGATATTTATTCCGGCGCTCCCTCCGCCTCTTTTCGTCCTCCTCACGCTCTCCCTCGCCGTTTTTGCACAGCAGGTCAGAACAATTTCCCGTTAATGGCATCCCATATTCATAGTTCCGTGTTCGTCGCGAGCTCGATTGCTCAGTTCCTCACCGGCGCATTCACAGTCTTGTTATCCAGAGAGCATTCCGCCATACCACAGTACGCATGCGTCTCGCCTTCCTCAAATTCACATCAATCTCCACCTAAAATCCCTGCAATCGTTCAACGCTTTATTATCAGAATCTTCTGCCTCTGCAAATCCCGTTTCGCACCAACCATCTGCAATCATAAAACATTATTGTTTCGTCTTCTGACCACCCTGTAACCATCTGCAGCCGTCCACAGACATCTCAGCTCCACCATCCGATCCGTCCCTCGTTCAACTCGACTTAGAACTCCCGGGTGTGACTATAGGGAGAGTGATTCAACTGGAACGAGAGCTCGCTGCAGCATCTGCTGCTTCTCCTGCCCTGCCTCCTCCCCCCTTAGCCTCGTCAGCATCATCCAAACCTCCTTCCCAACCACCATCAGCCTTGACAGTCTCATCCGAACCAGCTGCCGAACCAAGTTTGTCAAGCCCAGGAACGGCTGAGGATGGGACTCTACAGCAACATGATGGTAGCAATACGAGCAGCAGCAGCAGAAGCCAATCACCAGGCTCCAGCTCGGATCTTAGCATACGAGTTGATTGGTGTGTGCTCCTGCTCTCCCACCTACCCCATTCCTGACTTCCCTCCTCACCCCCTCTCTTCTCTTCCCTCCTCACTCCACCCTTTCTTCTCTTCCCTCCTCACCCCACCCTTTCTTCTCTTCCCTCCACTACCCCATTCTCCATTTCCCTCCTCAACACCTTCCTTTTGCACTTCCCTCCTCACCCCCTTATCTTCCCTCCTCACTGCCTCCCTTGAGCATCCTCAGCCCCTTAGCTTCCTGAGTATTCAGTTCATCTTCGTAATCCCTTGACCAGTCCATTCCCCTCGTCCCATTCGTACGAGCGAGATCCCAACTGCATTCCAAGCTGTTCTCCTCATTCCCATTCTCTTCCCATTTACCTGCCAGGGGTCGCTAGGGGTCACCAGGGGTCGCCAGGGGTCGCCAGGGGTCGCCAGGGGTCGCCAGGGGTCGCCAGGGGTCGCCAGGGGTCGCCAGGGGTCGCCAGGGGTCGCCAGGTATCAAAGGAGCAGCGGCTGTTGGAGCTCACAAGAGCAAGGCAGGAGGGGCGGTGCGCGTACATTCCCCTGACCAAGTATTGACCTCTCATTTCGTGACACCCCTCCCCATTCATTCCCCATCTCCCTGCCAGGGGTCGCCAGGGGTCACCAGGGGTCGCCAGGGGTCGCCAGGGGTCGCCAGGGGTCGCCAGGGGTCGCCAGGGGTCGCCAGGGGTCGCCAGGGGTCGCCAGGGGTCGCCAGGGGTCGCCAGGGGTCGCCAGGGGTCGCCAGGGGTCGCCAGGTATCAAAGGAGCAGCGGCTGTTGGAGCTCACAAGAGCAAGGCAGGAGGGGCGGTGCGCGTACATTCCCCTGACCAAGTATTGACCTCTCATTTCGTGACACCCCTCCCCATTCATTCCCCATCTCCCTGCCAGGGGTCGCCAGGTATCAAAGGAGCAGCGATGGTCGGAGATTCAGAGAGCGAGGCAGCAGGGGCGGTGCTCGAACAAGGGCGGTCTGTTCAACGCGTGGCCGTGGGAGGGGGGCTTCTCTGAAGGATTTCTAGCGTGGGAGCCGCAGCCTGACAAATACATTCTCATGGACTGCCAACGGAACCAGGTATGTGTGAGGGGGGAGAGGGAGCAAGGGGGGAAGGGGTTGGGCGTGCCAAATATATCCTCATGGCTTTCTGGCGTGGGAGCCGCAGCCTGACAAATACATTCTCATGGACTGCCAACGGAACCAGGTGCGTGTGAGAGGCGGGAGTGCGGGTCCTGGGAGGGCGGGTTTGCTGATGGGTTCCTGGCGTGGCCGCCTCAGCTGGACAAATACATTCTCATGGACTGGCAACGGAACCAGGTGCGTGTGAGTTGAGGGAAATGACAGGCTAGGGTTATGGTGCAAAGGGGGAGAGGGAGAGGCAGCAGGATGGGGAGGTGTTTGGCCAGGATGGGCTGTTCAACTCGTGGCCCTGGGATGGGCTGTTCAACTCGTGGCCCTGGGATGGGCTGTTCAACTCGTGGCCCTGGGATGGGCTGTTCAACTCGTGGCCCTGGGATGGGCTGTTCAACTCGTGGCCCTGGGATGGGCTGTTCAACTCGTGGCCCTGGGATGGGCTGTTCAACTCGTGGCCCTGGGATGGGCTGTTCAACTCGTGGCCCTGGGATGGGCTGTTCATCTCGTGGCCCTGGGATGGGCTGTTCAACTCGTGGCCCTGGGAAGGGGTGTTTTTTATCAGTCTCTCGCGTGGGAGCCGCAGCCTGACAAGTACATTCTCATAGACTGTCAGCGGAACCAGGTGGGTGTGAGAGGCTTGAAAGAGCAGGAGAGCAAGGAAGAGGGGCCAAGATGGGGCTGTTCAAGTTGTCGTCTTGGAAGGGGGGTTCTCCCAGCAACATGCAGAGGTTGTTGGGACGAATTCAATCCCATCACTTCATGGGGGCTAGTGTATCACTTCAGAACTCTCAAAAAACAGATTTCTCTTAACATCCCCCTCCCTCAATTTTTAGTTTGCTGGCGTTTGCCAAAAATGTTATGTAACCTTTTGGTAGAAGCAAAGTTAAAAGTCAGGGATACACCAGTGCTCGTGAAGTGATGAGATTGAATTCGTCCCAACAACCTCTGCATGTTGACTTGCATTGTAAGCCAGCTAGCCAGCCGCAAAGAACGAGCCGTACTGGATTTTAGTTCTTGGAATATCGGGTGAGTACGAGAGGCGGGTGAGAGCAAGTTGTCCAACCGCATTCGAAGGGATTGTTGGGTTCCAACCGCTGCTTCCGCAACCACCTAACAAAGGCTGGGGCTCTTGAGCGCATGCTCGTGGATTTGGCTTCAAGCACACCCGGCCCCGTTGCGCCCTCTCTCCCCTCTCCCTCCTCCTTCGTGGCGCCGCGAAAATGATTTTTGAGGTGCCTCAAAAATGGCTTCAAGCACAACTTTTGAGGCGCCTCAAAAGTAAAAATTGGCTTCAAGCACAACTTTTGAGGCGCCTCAAAAGTCAAAAATGGCTTCAAGCACAACTTTTGAGGCGCCTCAAAAGTCAAAAATGGCTTCAAGCACACCCGGCCCCGTTGCGCCCTCTCTCCCCTCTCCCTCCTCCTTCGTGGCGCCGCGAAAATGATTTTTGAGGTGCCTCAAAAATGGCTTCAAGCACAACTTTTGAGGCGCCTCAAAAGTCAAAAATGGCTTCAAGCACAACTATTGAGGCGCCTCAAAAGTCAAAAATGGCTTCAAGCACAACTTTTGAGGCGCCTCAAAAGTCAAAAATGGCTTCAAGCACAACTTTTGAGGCGCCTCAAAAGTCAAAAATGGCTTCAAGCACACCCGGCCCCGTTGCGTCCTCTCTCCCCTCTCCCTCCTCCTTCGTGGCGCCGCGAAAATGATTTTTGAGGTGCCTCAAAAATGGCTTCAAGCACAACTTTTGAGGCGCCTCAAAAGTCAAAAATGGCTTCAAGCACAACTTTTGAGGCGCCTCAAAAGTCAAAAATGGCTTCAAGCACAACTTTTGAATTCGTCCCAACAACCTCTGCATGTTGACTTGCATTGTAAGCCAGCTAGCCAGCCGCAAAGAACGAGCCGTACTGGATTTTAGTTCTTGGAATATCGGGTGAGTACGAGAGGCGGGTGAGAGCAAGGTGTCCAACCACATTCGAAGGGATTGTTGGCTTCCAACCGCTGCTTCCGCAACCACCTAACAAAGGCTGGGGCTCTTGAGCGCACGCTCGTAAATTTCGCTTCAAGCACACCCGGCCCCGTTGCGCCCTCTCTCCCCACTCTTTCCTCCTTCCAACCCATCCCTTATCAGGTGTGCAACCGCATTCGCTGCATCCGCAATTACCTAATTGTGACGTAGGTTCTCAATTGCACAGTCGTTGATCTGCCTTCAACCACGACCAGCCCCTCCTCCCTGCTCCCCTCTTATTCCCCTTACCCCCCCTCCTCCCCCCCAACTCCCCCTATCAGGTGTCCAACCGCATTCGCTGCATCCGCAACTACCTCGTAGTGTCAGGGGTGCTCAACTGCACGCTGGTTGATCTGGCTTCATGTGCACCCAGTTCCCTGAGCCCCTCCTTCCCCCCTTTCCAAAAGCCCCCTCCCCACACAAATTCTTCAGGTGTCCAACCGCATTCGCTGCATCCGCAACTACCTCATAGTGGCAGGGGTGCTCAACCGCACGCTCGTTGATCTGGCTTCATGCACACCCAGTCCCCTCCCTCCTCCTTGTCCCCTTCGCCACCTGTGCCCCCTAATCAGGTGTCCAACCGCATTCGCTGCATCCGCAACTATCTAATCGTGGCGGGCGTTCTCAACCGCACGCTGGTCGCACCGTTCCGGCCGGCGGAGGTGAACGGCAGCTACGACCGGCGCGTGTTCTTCCATCTCACCCACATGCACCGCTGCTACGGGCCGCACACCGTCATCACCCTCGACGACTTACTGGCAGAGAGAAGAGCAGCAAGGAGCGGCAATGGCAGTAGTGGCAATGACAGCAGCAACAACAACAGCAGCAGCAGCACAGCAGCGGATATAATAATAACCCAGGTCGTGTGCCCATTCACCAACTGCTACTTCCAACCAGGTTGGGGCCTTCCCACAGTCCTCCCCACACTCGGAGGCATCTCATACGAGGCTTTAACTTTCACGGATGCCAACCTGCCTCCGGATCACTCGATCAACATCACAGATATCAAGAGATTCGGGGATTTGATCTTCCCGTCCGCTGATGTGTTTGTAATGGGGGATTTGGGAGCTTCGCTGTTTGATGAAACCTTTCACAGGCAGATTGACGTGCCGTTTTTTCGGCGCCCGGGCTGCCCGAATAAACTGGCGATTCAGCCCCATCCGGCGATCTTCGAAGCTGCCAGCCGGTTTGTATCGGATGTGCTTCTAAAGGGGATGAATAACAGTGCAGGGAGTAGCAGGGAAGGAGAGGAGCAGGGCAACAACACAGCGGCTGAGGACACGCTACCATCAGCCATTGCTGGTGCCAGTGGGGGTACCACCACTACTAGTGCCAGCGGTAGCAGTGGTAAGAATGCCGGTCAGCTTCGCTACATGGCGATTCACTGGCGGCGAAAAGACCTGGTTACCAGCTTTCAGGACTCAGGCTCTCATCTCACAATCAACCGCACCGCCAGATGCATCGCCGATCGCATGGCAAAATCCAGCAATCTCAGCACCATTTTCCTAGCCACTGACGCCGAACCTACTGAGGTGGCGGAATTGACCGGAGCGGTTTTGTCCCACCGCCCGGACCTGCGGCTGATGCAGCTTCCGCTGAACCTGGACGCGCAGGCTTGGGCGCAGGTGCTGCTGCCGCACCGGTTTGAGCATCCGGGGGTGGTGCGGGTGACGTTAGACAAGGCGGTGTGTGCTCTAGCAGACGTGTTTCTTGGGACGGCAGCTTCGTCGTTCACGGAGGACATTCAGCGAATCCGGACGGGGTTGAGAGTGGCGCATTGTGAAGACCAGATGTTGTGCGAAGACGAGCTATAGAGATGTTTTGGAGTTATGGAACCGTACCACTGTACGGCCGCTAGGAGATTCATTGTCAGCCATGGAGCACAGTACTAAGAATCAGCTGGGTTGGGTTGGGAGGGAGCTGTCTTTCCACTACGACCATTTCTTACATGAATGGATTGGTGAGCCACAGGTACCGGTACGGTATGATGGGTTCCCTACCACGGTACTACCATGCCCTGAATGCTGATTTACCCCAGACTTCTGTATTATATTGGTCACGGAACTGTCAGGAATCGTATTTTATTGCATACCAGCCAATCAAGATTACCGCAATAATGTGCAAGTGCTTCTACAGCACTCCATTTTTCCAGGAACTGTATGGAACTGAGTACATTGTCAGGCTGGAAATGAACGTGCTAAAACAAAATAAGGCATTATTATACCGTCATACCCCGGATAGAAGCGCCCCTGGGGTTGTAATAAAACACTGTTTTTTAGGGGGTGCGCTTATAATTGAGGAAATTTATAAGCGCCGGCGTTTATATAACGGCAAAATGAAATTAAGTTTTTTTTTAACACCAAACTGTAGATCTCGTTCTTCCGAGTGTAATCGAGTCGAAACTATATGGGGCCGCGAATCTGACTCTCGAGCAACTTGGCAGGGATTGATTCCCTGCCAACACATGCTGACTAAGCGACAGCGCGTGCTGACTAGACGCGCAGCAAGTGGGATGTGAGTGGGAAAGTGGAACTGTACTTCCCTTACCTGGTAAGGGGAATTTCGTTTCTGTATTTTGACTGATTTTCGTATAATATTCGACATGCGCTTATAATAAATCACAAATTTATAGGGGGTGCGCTTATAATTGAGGACCGGATATAAGCGCCCTCATCCCTTTATAAGCGCCGGCGCTTATCTGAGGCCTGCGCTTCTATCCGGGGGCTTACGGTATTCTCACACCAGCACATTTATGTTGGCAAGAATATGAAAAAGCTTCTTGCAGAGAATGTAGGTAGGTGTGTTACATTATTTCCAGGGTACACCCATTGAAGGCTTGCCTTGCCTTGCCAGATCCTCCAGCTGACACCACACCACATCCCCAGTCAACAGATAGAAACGAGGTCTGTGCCACGTGATTTATCTCCCCCTGGCAGAGCTGTTTCGGGCGGCGCACTGAGTCGCCACAGCTGCCAGCATCCTATCCCACCAGTGTCAATTCCACCAAAGTCAATGTCAGTCAATCAGCAGTCAAGAGCGCCCCTGCCACAGCTGCCTGCATCCCATCCCACCAGTGCCAAGTCCACCAAAGTCAACGCAGGTCAATTAGCAGCCAGGAGGCACACCATGAGTGCCCCTGTCATGCCACTCGTCTCCACCCGGACCTCCACGTTTCAGGTTTACGAGGGTGATGAGGAGTCCTCATCTCCTGGCCGGGTTGTTTTGGGCGGCGCACTGCTTCGCCACGACTTCCAGTTTCTCACCCCACCAGTGCCAAGTCAACCCAAGTCAACGCAAGTCAATCAGCAAGAGGCACGACCATGAGCGCCTGTGCCACCTCGCTCATCTCTAGCCGGTCCTCCTTGCATCGGGCTTGGCGGCATACTGCTGCTTCGCCATTGCTGCCAACATCCCATCTCTCCAGTGTCAAGTCAACCTGGGTCAACCCAAGTCAATGAAGGTCAATCAGCAGTCCATCGGCACGTCCATGAGTGTTTGTGCCACGTCACTCATCTCCGGCCGGTCCTCATCCATTCGGCCTCTGGAGACACGCTGCTTCCTCACAGCTTCCAGCATCCCATCCCACTAGTGCTAAGTCAACTTAAGTCAACGCAAGTCAATCAGCAAGAGGCACGGACATGAGCGCCTGAGCCACGTCACTCATCTCCGGCCGGTCCTCCTTGTGCCGAGCGGCGCCTTGCTTTTCCACAGCTGCTGGCTTCAGGTCAACCCAAGTCAACCCGGGTCAACCCAAGTCAACCCAGGTCAACCCAAGTCAACGCAAGTCAGTCAGCAAGTCAATCAGCAAGAGGCACGGACATCAGAGCTTGTGCCACGTCACTCATCTCCGGCCGGTCCTCCTTGTGCCGGGCGGAGCACTGCTTCGCCACGGCTGCCAGCATCTTGGCGCCTCGGCGGGAGAACCTGCCCTGCAGGTTCGGGTCGATCCAAGCCTCAGGTTCGGTGATGTTGGGGTACAGGTGCGGCCCCATCCAAGCCACAAGCTTCACATTGCCTTCCTTGGACACAGCATCGCGGCCTGTTAGCATCTGCGTGGTGGGGGGGTGTGGGGAGGACAGATGCGGAGGAGGGAAGCCTCAGGGTTGGTGATGTTGGGTACAGGTGCGGCCCCGTCCATGCCACGAGCTTCACTTTTCCCACCTTGGAAACAGCGTCCCGACCTGTTAGCATCTGTTGCAGGGTGTTAGCATCTGTTGCAGGGTTTTTTTTAGAATTCTCAAAGATGAGGAGCAGGGGAAAGGAGCAGCGAGCGTCCCGAGCTGCTAGCATCTGTGGGAAAGATGAGGAGCAGGGGAAAGGAGCTTCAGGAAGAGGGATGCTGAGGTGCTTCAAGGGCACTCAGGCAACCCTGTCCCTCAAGCACTCCGTCTCCATGTATGTGCTCTGCTCACCCACGTATGTATCCAGGTCAAGTTTCCCCATGGTGCTCATCACACCCATCACACACACACATGCTAATGCACGCACCCATGCCCCCACCCCATCGCGTCCGTACCTGTAGCAAGATGACCCCGAGGGAATAAACGCCGCTCTTATTGTGTAGACACCCCGACTCCATGTATTCGGGGTCAAGGTACCCCATGGTGGGTTTCCCATCACACACACACACACACACACACACACACACACACACGCACACACACACACACACACACACACACACACACACACACACACACGCACACACACACGCACACACACGCACACGCACACGCATGTGACATGCTTGCTACACGCATCAGCCAGTGCACCACATACCTGGAACAGGATGACCCCGAGGGAGTAACGTCGCTCTTCTTGTCCCGCAAGCACCCAGTCTCCATGTATTCATGGCCCAGGTACCCCATGGTGGGTTGTCCATCACACACACTTCCCGGTCCAGGTACCCACCATGGTGCATGCTGCTACACGTACACAACAGCAGCACACCACACACCTGTAGCAAGATGACCCCGAGGGAATACACGTTGCTCTTGTCTCGCAAGCACCCCGTTTCCATGTACTCGGGGCCAAGGTAACCCATGGTGCCCATCACACGCACCCTCTTATGCTCGCACCATCTAAGGGAGATACACACCTGTAACAGAATGACTCCAAGCGAATACACATCGCTCTTGTCTCGCAAGCACCCCGTCTCCATGTACTCGGGATCCAAATACCCCATCATGCCCATCCCACACCTGTGACCTACAAGCATCAACCAGTGCATCACACACCTGTAGCAGGATGACCCCTAGCGAGTAAACGTCGCTCTTATCCCTCAGACACCCCGTCTCCATGTACTCGGGATCCAAATACCCCATCGTGCCCATCACTCGCGTCGAGATGTGGCTCACGCTGCTGGCCGACTGCTTCGCCATGCCGAAATCCGTGATGCGTGCTTGCATGTCCTGTGTTAAGTGGGATGGAGGGAGGGAAAGAGGGGAGGACCAGGGGGTGCGGGGAGGGTGGGGGCAAGGAAGAGGTTGGAGAGTAGTGAGTGTGTGTGGTTGGAGAGTAGTGAGTGTGTGTGGTTGGAGAGTAGTGAGTGTGTGTGGTTGGAGAGTAGTGAGTGTGTGTGGTTGGAGAGTAGTGAGTGTGTGTGGTTGGAGAGTAGTGAGTGTGTGTGGTTGGAGAGTAGTGAGTGTGTGTGGTTGGAGAGTAGTGAGTGTAAGCCACCAGCTTCTCAAGCCGAGATTGAGATGTGGCTCACGCTGCTGGCCGACTGCTTCGCCATGCCAAAGTCTGTAATACGTGCTTGCATGTCCTGGCAGGTGGCATGGAGAGAGGGGAAGAGGGGAGGACCAGGGGGTGGTGAATGACCTCGTTCTCATGCAGATCCAGCAGCCCCTGCGCTGCTCCCTCCCTGCCATGGGTGAATCCAATGCCGCTCCAGTATCACACTGTACTGTACAGCCTTGAATCCCCACCTGATCCAATAAGATCTTGGAGGGCTTTAAGTCCCGGTGAATGACCCTGTTCTCGTGCAGGTGCAGCAGCCCCTGCGCTGCTCCCTGCGCTGCCCTCTGCACTGCTACTGTCCTGACATGGTATATCTCCTCTCAAGCGAATTGAGTCCCTACCTGATCCAATAAGATGTTGGACGGCTTTAAGTCGCGGTGAATGACCTTGTTCTCGTGTAGATGCAGCAGCCCCTGCGCTGCTCCCTGCGCTATCCGCACGCGTGTGGGCCAGTCAATGATATCCACCTCCCTCCCTGCATGCACAAGAGCAGATGCGAGGACGAGGGGCGAAAGCTCATTTCAAACCTGCCCTTTCAGCTACCCACGCACGCGTGTGGGCCAGTCAATGATATCGACCTCCCTCCCTGCATGCATGCACACAAGGGGTGAGTGTGAGAGAGAGAGAGAGAGAAACGAGAATGAGCCAGTCAAGGCCAGTCAAGAGATGAGCAGTATCATGGCCATGTGGGGATTTTTTAGGCGCCTCAAAAATAGTCAAGGCCAGTCAAGAGATGAGCAGTATCATGGCCATGTGGGCCACTGAATGCTTTCCTCCATTCGCCCTGGATGCATGTGATGAGAGGGGAGAGGAGGACGCAGGGGTAAGGGGGGAAGTGGGAGGACAGGTTGATGTGAGAGCTGCCCCCTGTGCTATCCAGATGATCCATGTGTGCCCCCTGCAAGCTGCCCCCTGTGCTATCCAGATGATCCATGTGTGCCCCCTGCAAGCTGCCCCCTGTGCTATCCAGATGATCCATGTGTGCCCCCTGCAAGCTGCCCCCTGTGCTATCCACATGATCCATGTGTGCCCCCTGCAAGCTGCCCCCTGTGCTATCCAGATGATCCATGTGTGCCCCCTGCAAGCTGCCCCCTGTGCTATCCACATGATCCATGTGTGCCCCCTGCAAGCTGCCCGCTGTGCTATCCAGATGATCCATGTGTGCCCCCTGCAAGCTGCCCCTTGTGCTATCCAGATGATCCATGTGTGCCCCCTGCAAGCTGCCCCCTGTGCTATCCACATGATCCATGTGTGCCCCCTGCAAGCTGCCCCCTGTGCTATCCAGATGATCCATGTGTGCCCCCTGCAAGCTGCCCCCTGTGCTATCCAGATGATCCATGTGTGCCCCCTGCAAGCTGCCCCCTGCCAGCTGCCCCCTGCCAGCTGCCCCCTGCCAGCTTCCCCCTGCAAGCTGCCCCCTGCAAGCTACCATTGGGGCTCAACCCGTACACCAGCAGCGCCTTGCCTCAGGTAGTGTGTGCATACAGTGCATGTGCGCATGTGTACATGCACGCACAGCAGCACACTCACAGGGGAACAACCGGTCGTACAGGCTGCCGTTGGGGGGGGCACGGCCCGTACACCAGCAGCGCCTCGCCCTTCTTGGCACAGCAGGCAACATGCATGCATGTGCATACAGTGCATGCGCGCATAGCAGTGCACTCACGGGGAAACAGCCGGTCGTCCAAGCCACCGTTGGGGCACGGCCCGTACACCAGCAGCGCCTCGCCCTTCTTGGCACAGCAGGCAACATGTATGCATGTGTGTACATGGATACATGCACGCACAGCAGTGCAGGGGAATAGGCAGTCGTCCAGGCTGCCATTTGGGGCAGAGCCCGTACACCAGCAGGGCCTTCACTCATCTCTGATATGTGCACACGCAGAGCATGTACACATACACTGAATGCTGGCAAGTGCTTCAAAGCCATTAGGCAGTTAGTGAAGCTGCGCACTCACGGGGGAATAGGCGGTCGTCCAGGCTGCCATTGGGGCAGAGCCCGTACACGAGCAGCGCCTCGCCCTTTTCTGCACAGTAGCCTATGAGCTCCACCAGATTGGGGTGGTGCAGCTTCCTCAGCAGCACTATCTCCGCCTGTGGGGGAAGGAAGGGGAGGGGGGAAGGTTGTAAGACAAGAAAGGATCCAACAGTTGGTCGGGAAGGGAAAGGCGACAGGAAGTCACTGTAGCCTCGCCCTTTTCTGCACAGTAGCCTATGAACTCCACCAGGTTGGGATGGGATGGTGCAGCTTCCTCAGCAGCACTATCTCCGCCTGTGGGGGGGAGGAGAGGGCGGAAGGGGTGGGAGACACGAAGAGGAGAAGAGAAAATACCGACTCAACTGAGAATTGCAGTAGCCTATGAGCTCCACCAGGTTGGGTAGTGCAGCTTCCTCAAAAGCACTATCTCCGCCTGGTGGGGAGGAGAGGGCGGAAGGGGTGAGAGGTGCAAACGCAGCAAGAGGGGGAGGGAGCACAGTTGAAAGGGAAAGGGACAACAACAGGGAGTCACAGTAGTAGCCTATCAACTCGACCAGGTTTGGATGGTGCCTCTCCTCAGAAGCACTCTCTCCGCCTGGAGGGAGGAGAGTTGGGGAGGAGGAGAAGATAAAAAGAAGCAGAAGCACCAATTGATCCAAGCGTTACAAGTCCCCACTCAAGAGGTAAGAACCCCCCATTCACTTACACCTTATTCACTCGCACCCCATTCACTCACCTCTCAATCACTCAACCCCCATCCACTCAACCCCCATTCACCGACCCCCACTCACTCACCATTCACTCACTCACTCCCCATGCATTCCCATCACACACATACCCACTCACCAGCCATTCATCCAGCCCCTGTGAGCTCTCCGGATTCAGCTTTTTCACCGCCACTTCCACCACCTCCCCATGCGAGTTGAATTTTGAGTCGACTCAAAAGTCAGCTCTCCGGATTCAACTTCTTCACTGCTACTTCCACCACCTCCCCATGCCCAGGGACAAACCCCCCACGCACTACCATCCCAGGCACTCCTCCCTCACCTCCCACCCACTCACCAGCCATTCATCCAGCCCCTATGAACTCTCCGGATTCAGCTTTTTCACCGCCACTTCCACCAATTCCCCACTCTCCTTCCCCCCCAGCTTCCCCAGCCATTCGTCCAGCCCCTGTAACACGACTCACGACGACTCACCAGCCATTCGTCCAGCCCCTGTGAACTCTCCGGATTGAGTTTCTTGACTGCCACTTGCACCACCTCCCTGCTCTCTTCCCGCCCAGCTTCCCTGCAGTTATGTTCCAGGCGTCAAAAACAACCCCCATCCACTCACCAGCCATTCGTCCAGCCCTTGTGAGCTTTCAGGATTCAGCTTCTTCACCGCCACTTCCACCACCTCTTTGCTCTCCTTCCCGCCCAGCTTCCCCAGATACACCTCCCCGAAGCTGCCCCGCCCCAGCACCGCCTTCTTGCTAAAAGACGACGTCGCCGCCCGCAGCTCGTGCAGGCGGAACTTGCGGGCGGTGCCCCGCCCGTCCTTGGGATCGGAGGACGTCGACTGGGCGGCGGAAAGGGCGGCAGAGTTGGTGGAGGTGGCATCTGAAGGGGATTGAGGGTTGGGGGTCGAGGGGGGGTAAGGGGAGGCAGAGTGGGTGGAGGTGGTATCTGAAGGGGTTAGCGTTGGGTTGGGGGGTCGCGGGGGGAAAAGGCTGGAAGAGTTAGTGGAGGTGGCATCTGAGGGGGAAAGGGGAAGGGGCAAAAAAGAGCGGCAGAGTTGGTGGAGGTGGGGTCTGAGGTGGGAGGGAATGGGGGGGACGAGGGGGAAACAAGGCGGCAGAGTTGGAGGGAGCCGGGGAAGGGCCAGCAAAGGTGGGGAAGGTTGTGCATCCCTCCTGCCTCGAGGGGGATGGTTGGTTCTAACCTAGGGTTTCCCTGTGAAGTCACATGCTGGCAGGCACGGGGGGCAGAGGGGGAAAGGGGAAGGGGCAAAAAAGAGCGGCAGAGTTGGTGGAGGTGGGGTCTGAGGTGGGAGGGAATGGGGCGGACGAGGGGGGAACAAGGCAGCAGAGTTGCAGGGAGCCGGGTCCAAGGCTGAGGCTGAGCATCCCTCCTGCCTCGAGGGGGATGGTTGGTTCTAACCTAGGGTTTCAATGTGAAGACACATGCTGGCAGGCACGAGGGGCAGAGGGGGGAAGGGGGGGCAGCAAAGGGTGGGGGAAGAGTGGGGAAGAGTGGGGAAGGGCCAGGGAAGGGGCGAAAAAGGGCTCCGCTTGGTGTCAACACACACGAGGGGGGGAACACACATCAGCCGTCCGTGCAGAACACACCTGCACTGGCAGAGCCTGCTAGAACCTGCTAGCCCCACAGGCACGCTCGGCTGTGCTGTGCTGTGCTGCTGCCCTGCCAAGCTGCCACCTCCGCCGTACCCAGCCCAGCAGGTGTGTGTGCGTGAGTCGATACGAAGAAAACAATTCCTACAGGAACGAGGGGGCGCCGCGCCACAACACATCAGCCATTCATACCTGCGAATCCTGTAGCCCCTCCTGCGACTTTTGAGGCGCCGCAAAAGCCATTAGTACCTGCAGAAGATGCTGTAGCACCGCACCACCTGCGTGCGCCACAGGCACGCTCTGTGGTGCTGCCAACCCTCCACCTCCGCCGTGCCCAGGTGTGTTCAGACAGAGCCCATCAAAACACACCAGAGGGGGAGGAGACAAGCCGTCCCAGGTTCGTACCTGCACTGGCACCACCTGCGTGCGCCACAGGCACGCTCTGTGGTGCTGCCAAGTTGCCACCTCCGCCGTATCCATCCTCTCCTCCCCCTCTCCCATTCCCCCTCCCTACCGCCCCCCCTTGCCTCTCCGCTCCCCGTCCCCACCCTCCTTCCCCTCCCTCCCCTCCGCCCCCTCTCCTCCCGCCGCTAGACACGGCCTTCGCTCCGCCAACTCCGCTCCCCACCCTCTTCCCCCTCCCCGCGCCCCTTCTAAACTTCCCCCCTCCGCCCGCCACCCCTCCGCCCCCTGCTCCGTTACCCTCCGCCTCGCTCCCATCCCCAGCTTCCCTCGGCGTTCGAGGCGAAAAACCCGTCGCGAATCGCTGGTTACCACCAGGGCTGGAGGCGACGGAATGAGCGCGGGATCTGGGCGTGGTGGACGTGACGTTACCGAAGGGCGAACTTGGCGCGCTCTCTGCAATCACCTCCACCGATAAGCACCCGCCCATGCCTCCCCTCCGGTACACGCCCGGATATTATGACCGTTAGAAAAGCCACTGTTAGGTCAAGCCACTCCTGCTGCTGCTTCTGCTTCTGCTTTTGCTTCCGCTTCTGCTGCTGCTGCTGCTGTTGCGGCTGCTGCTGCTGCTCCTAAGCCTAGACACGAGAACGACGGCTGGAAAGGTTCGAGTTGCTGACAGATAGGAGACGCGACTGGCCCGTCAGAAGGACTTTCGTTAGTATATTAACATAGAAACGGCAGCCTATGACACGGCATTTGAAGACGCGGCATTGGTCGGCGTTGAAAGACAGCTCTGTGGTGTCGTAGGGGACTCATTATGATGCGAACCAATTAGCGGGCGAACCGATTAGAATGCGGAACAAGTTACCTAAGTCGTCGAGCCGTAGCGCTTTCGCTTAGCCCACGATGATGCGGGCCTATGATGTCACATATACGAAAGCAGTCACGTTCGAGAAATCCCTAAGAGAACTCACAAGCTACGATTTTTAATCACTCAACCTCGCCTCCTGAAGGTTGTGATAATAACGAGAGGGCCATTGAGAATAATGGTAGGGAAGTGCAGCGGTCTTAGCAACGCTACCACAAGCTCTGTCAGGAATGCGTTTCACCGGAATAGGGGGTATAAGTATGGATTTTCAAGCGAAAAGAGAGCGCTTCGAAGGTAAACTTGGCCTAACCAGCTCAGGGTGACAGGAGTTTGTGTAAGCGAGTCACCCTGGCTTCTGTCGCTACGCAGGCTGCGGGAAAAGCTGATAGCTCTGGACGTGCGAAACGAAACAGACGAGTATTACGCTTGCGCAATGGACAAGGGAATTACTACGTAGGGGAGGGATGAAATGCATGAATCAGTAGAGAGCAACGAGATAAGTCGTAATTCTCTAGTGCAGCGCTCGCTTTTGCTGATCGCGTGCTTTCCGTGATGCGTGGAAAATGGCAGGTTGTGAGACCATTATTCTATTAGTGGGTTCAGTGTGTTTCAGGAGGACAAAACACAACAACCTCTGCTTGTTCAGGAGGACCATACCGCTCTGAACCGTACGGAAATGTACTCTACTGTTATGTACTGAATAGAAAAGACCGTGGTGCCTGTGCCGCCCACCACTAGCCCCTGGGCGGAGTGGAGTGGAGTCACCCGCCAGGAACTCGACGTGCACCTGTTCGCCACTGTCGCCAAAGCCGGCCAGTGACAGCACGCGGTATTCACCTGGCTGGGTGTGTAACACGATGATACACTTTTCAAAACCATTCGAATGAATTTGTATATTTATAACTCAAACAACACAATAGTCTAGTGCCGATAATAATTACAACGGAGAACACTCGGGAAACCCTGCTTGCGTAAACCCCGAAAGGACTGCGACCAATTAGGATATCTTCGTTTTCGCGTGTAACCCAAGCCACCCAGCAAGCGAGTCCACTTGGTCCATGCTGAGTCAATGCAGACAACATCCACGTCAAACATTTGCCAGACGCATTCTCGAAGTCGCAGACGAAGAAGTAACTCATCTAAGCAGAAATTCGCTAGTAGGGAAAAAATTGGCTGAATTTCGCGAAACGGTAACTTTCGAGCAAAGTGTCGCACATCGAGAATGTCAGGGGCACAGCTGAACGATTTTGGACTAATTTTCTTATGGTTGGAGAAGCAGCAGAGTAGCAGGAATGGCGCGTGATAAGGAGTATAAGAGCCCACTAACTCGTGGGAACTGAAGCATCAGTGTGTCACTCGTTGACTCTCTGCCAGCATGTAAGGCCAGCACGATACGCATTGCCATAGACTTATTATTCATCAGTTCTCTATTAGTTACCTCTCGCGCGTAGCATTGTCACTCTTGCTTGCTCGTCATAAAACGGCATTTCGCGCCGGAACGCTGAAAGCCATGGCTCGTCAACAGCGCGTCGGTCATTCATGCGACGCCACCGGATTTTCCCGCACCCTCCGCCGCGTGAGACGGATACGAAGCGCCGCAGTCGCCGGCCAGACTGGATCCTCCACAATCCCCAGGGGAGGCGGGGCGGAGCGGCAGACGCGGCGCGAATGGAGGCGGAAGAAGCGGGTTAGTGGCGGCCCCGGTGACTCCAAACTTCCACTGCATCAAGATTCACGCAAGTTACGCGGCGGAAACGGCGGAAACGGCGGAATTAGCGGCGGAGGGGAGGGAAGCGCTCATTCAGTCAACTCTGGATGTGACAATATCGAGTGTGACGGAATCGGTGGCTTCGGCAGTATCGACGGCGGGGCCGAAGTGGAGCCGAGCGGTGCGTCCGACGATCTGGGAGGCGGCCCAGCCTCGGAATCCGATCCAGCTGGTGGAGAATCAAATCCCGCATCAAATCCTAGAAGTGGAGGAGAATCAAATCCTTCGAAGCGCTGCACCGACTGTTGCATCTGGAGCGGGTGTTCAAGCCGACGTCCCTGCTGTAGCGGCTGTAGCGCCGGCTGTAGCGTCTCCCCTTCACGGCACTCCCCAAGGAGAAGCTACTTCCCCATCCAACTCGCGCGCTACAGGTGTGACAACCACCTCATGCACAAGGGAAGCAGACGTTACATCCGCCTCTGCTGCTCCCGCGGCCTCTGGTGCTACAACCGATGCAGGCGCTACATCCGCCCCTCTTGCTACAGCTGCCACTGCTGCTACAGCCGCACCTCATGCTACAGCCGCAGCGGCGTCACATGCTGACTTCATCATTCGTGCTGTAGCGCCGTCCGCTGGCGTCGCCCTCTGGGAGGCGCTCAGGCGCGCTACAGACGCTGCTGCCACGGCTGTAGCCTCCCTGCACACGTGGCAAGCGGAGTGCTGCGCTGACATGGACGAGGCCTGCAGCAGAGAGTTCTGGGCGGCGGTTACGGCGGATGATGCAGGAGAAGAAGAGGATTGGATCCTGGCCGTTGATTCTCTCGGATTATGGTGGCTCTTCGGGCACCTGGACACCAACATCGGCGACAACGTGGGGCCAGGATCAACCTGCGCCCAACCTGGGCTGACTTCACCAGAAGAAGAATACTCCGACTTAACTTTGAACAAGGAATCTCAACTGGAGAATCCAGGCGAAGGTGTTAATGAGGGTGTGATTGTGGCTGAAGCAGCTGGGGCTGAGCAGTTGGAGCAGCTAGAACAGCGGGGACAGCAGGATGGCTGCACTTCTGACACGCACAGGTGTGTTTTGAGTCGACTCAAAACACAGCAGGATGGCTGCACTTCTGACACGCACAGACAAGAGCGACCCGAAGGGTGCTATGCTGTGCGTGTGTTTGTGTCCGAGTTTGAGGCCCGGGCGCCTTTCCTGCACTTCTCTCTCTCGGAACATGCCGCCCGGGTCGCCGCCTCGCCCAATGCGGGAGGCGCTTCCGTCATTTCCGAGGTGAGTCCTTCGATGCAATCGTATGTGCATCACTGGCTCTTTCAGTTGTTGTTCTCCTGTGAGTAACAGTATTACCCTTCCCCGCCTATTCACCTCCTCTGCAGTCGCTTTCTGTGGAGTATTTCGTGCGTCATTTTGGTGCAACTGACATTATTTCAGAGATGGAGGTAAGAAACATATGTTCTGTGCACCTGCTCCTTCTTTTCCCTCTCTGTCTCGCTTCTAAAACCGATGCGAAGCATCTGCTATTTCAATCTCATATCAGATCAAGTACTGCGACAGCAACTGGAAGAAGGTGGATTACATCTGCAGCTTGTTTGGGCAGCGCTTTGGAGTGTCGGTCACTCGAGCCATGATGTACCCCGACCCTGCTCTCTTCGACTGCCACCGTGCTCGTGCCCTGCTCAGGAAGAAGCTGCACGGGCTGGTAAGTGATAAGTGATAAGGCTCGTCTTTGTTAAATTATCATTTTCTCTATTTGTTGGCACCTTGTCTGCAACTTTTGCGTGTACTCGTAGTCTCTTGCAGCTGATGCATTTGTGCTGGTTGTGAGGTGTGCAGGTGGTGGCATGGTCGGGCATCTCTCCCATGCACTGCTTCTCTCGAGCCATTCTCCACGTATGGTGTGAAACCTCACACATAGCCAACCTTCTGCAAGACGCATTTCCAGGCAAGAACCACGAAGCTTTCGATTTGTCCTTTTCATTGTTGAGCTTTCCCTCATCGTGCCTTTCTCTGTCAAACTTGATATTTGCAGAGGTTTCAAGCTCCTTGGATATGCAAGAAGACGTGCTGATGGTGCTGACTGTTGCCGAAGGCCATCAAGGCTGGCCTATCTTCTATGAGTCCTTGTATAAGGTATCTGAAAGGTCAAAGGATGACGGGGAAAGGGGTTTATGGGCGCACCATGCACATCATCCTTGGTTTGGAATAAATATGAAGACTTTTGTCAGGGCTGTGTAGATAGAGTGTATATATTCCTGTAATCTAACACTATCTGGATGTCTGTGCAGCGAGGTGTGCAAGAACTCCTATGACATTTTGCATATTATTGTTTCCAAAGTGTGGGCTTTCCATGGCGTTAAGTGCACGCACATTGCATCATGCAGTATTGAGTCTTCTGTTGTGCTTGCTCAAAGAGACACGATTCCACGTGTATTCGACTGCACCTGACGGTTCCTCTTACACAGTCAGCATCACATTGACCAATTGCC